GTGTGGAGGTTGAAGACCTCACTCTCTTCTTTGACCCTGAGGTCTTTTTCCCCGCGGGTTGTTTAGGGTTGGCTATCGTAGCCTGCCCTTTACCCTTGAGGTTTATCCCGGAGGAGGATGGACCCGGTTTCGGCGGGTCGGTATTCGCCGCCTCCGCCTGCAAACGAGCCTTCCTCCGCCTTTTTACCTCAGCCCCGCAGATTCGCTTCCTCCTAGGAGGCTGCGACCCCACATTGGCTGGGTTTCCTGTTTGAGGTGCACCCGAAGGCACTTCCTCAGTGGTTTTTTTATTGTTTTCGATTTCCATAATCTGGATTTTGATTTCGTCCTCCTGCGTCCCCACCCACCACGGAGTCCAACAAGGGGACGCCGAACTTCGACGTCAGGGCTAGCAGAAGGATATAGCCCCCAGGGAAGCTCATCCTGCAGTACGCAGCCTCAACTAGTGAGGTTACTCGTGCTCAGACTACACTTCCCCCAAGGACTCACCCTGTCGGCGGTCTGACCCGACGACACAGCCGATTGATCTGAGATGGGTTAGTCTCGACCTCCCGTTTTGGTGGAAATCCAGGCCAAAGAGGCGTGTTGCCCAGCCTTGGTGACACACTGCACCAAGGGGGGCTCAACCTCCAGGATTCCTTCATCCCACCTTACGGGTCTCCACGCACGGCACAAACACGCGGGAGCTTGTCCGCGGGGCTGTTTTGACGACCCCACACCAGGGGTTTAATCCCGGGGGGGCACGTTTATTTCCAGCCCTCCTCTACTGAACCGCCTTCGCGGCCGTCTAAGCCGACAACCACCAAGGCATGTCCAGGCAAGACGAGCCTCAGCCCTAACCTACATATCTGGAGAAGGGAAAAATCCAGGTCGGACTTCCACCACCCCCAAGAGTGTTTAGTTCCCGGGGGCATATCCGCCCTCCCCAGACCCCCCTTCCCCAGACAATGCCGGTCTCCCCCTATCCGCAACACTGGGGACGCGCCTGATAGGTAACTCAACCCACAGGCATTTCTGGACTTCCTAAAGTTTAGATTTTTCACATCTTCAATTCTTCAATTTTTCGATTTTTTAAGATTACGATTTTTCAATTTTGCTTTTTTAGATTTTCGATTTCTCAGTTTTCCAATTTTTTAATTTCTCAATTTTTTGAATATTTCTTTCAGTTATGAGATTTTTCAATATTTCAATTTTTCGACTTTTCGATTTTTGAGTTGACGGATTTTTTTGATTTCTCGATTTTTTACTTTTTGGATTTTCAATTTATTGTAAACTTTAGATTTTTCAATTCTGCGACTGTTTAATGCTTCGATTTCTCAATTTTTAAACTTTTCGATGTTTTAATATTTCATTTTTTTAAATTCTAGGTTTTTCGATATCTCGAGTTTTCAGTTCCTCTATATTTCAATTTTTCAATTTTTCGATTTTTTTAATTTTAATTTTCGATTTTCCAGTTTTTCTTTTCTAAAATTTTTCGATTATTCAATTTTTTATTTTCTCAATTTATCGAATTCAGATGTTTCGTTGTTTTGATTGTTCAATTTCTCAATTTTTCAATTTTTAACTTTCCTTTTCGGCTTCCGACTCCTCAATTTCTCGATCCTCCGATTTTTCGATTTCTCGAAGTCTAAGTTTTTGAATTTTTCGATGTTTCGATTTTTGGGTTTTTCGGTTTTTCGATTTTTTTCTTTTGAGCTTTTCAATTTCTGGATTTTCCAATTTTTCAATGTCCCGATTTTTCAATTTTTCAATTTTTCAAATTTTTGCGTTAAATTTTCAGTTTTCTGATTTCTCAGTTAATCTATTTTTGATTTTCCCACTTCTCAAAGTTTCGATTTTTCAGTTCTTCAATTCTTCGATTTTTCGACTTCGCTTTATTGGTTTGTCGATTTCTCAATTTTTTGATATTTCTTTCAGTTTTGATATTTTTCAATACTTCGATTCTTTCATTTTTCGACTTCAAGATTTTTCTATTTTTTATTTTTGGATTTTCAGTTTTTTGTTTTTTAATCGGATGTTTCGATGTTTTGATTATTCAATCTCTCGCTTTATCAATTTTTCCATATTTAAGTTTTCGATTTTTCGATTTTGGCCCATTTCGGTTTCTCAATTTTTTGATTTTTCGACTTCTCGATTTTTCGACTCCTCGATTTTTTTGTCTTTTGATTTTTCGATTTCTCGATGTCTCAATTTTTGAATTTTACAAAGTTTCGATTTTTCGATTTGTTGGTTTTTCGATTTTTTGCTTTTCGATTTCTCTATCTTTCGATGTTTCAATGATACGATTTCTCAATTTTTGTCCTCTTCAATTTTACGGTTTTTAAATATTTCGATTTTTCAATTTTTCAAATTTTCACGTTTCTAAATTTTCAGTTTGCCGATTTCTAAAGTATTTTTTTTTATTTGTCCATTTCTGGACTTCCTAAAGTTTAGATTTTTCACATCTTCAATTCTTCAATTTTTCGATTTTTTAAGATTACGATTTTTCAATTTTGCTTTTTTAGATTTTCGATTTCTCAGTTTTCCAATTTTTTAATTTCTCAATTTTTTGAATATTTCTTTCAGTTATGAGATTTTTCAATATTTCAATTTTTCGACTTTTCGATTTTTGAATTGACGGATTTTTTTGATTTCTCGATTTTTTACTTTTTGGATTTTCAATTTATTGTAAACTTTAGATTTTTCAATTCTGCGACTGTTTAATGCTTCGATTTCACAATTTTTAAACTTTTCGATGTTTTAATATTTCGTTTTTTTAAATTCTAGGTTTTTCGATATCTCGAGTTTTCAGTTCTTCTATATTTCAATTTTTCAATTTTTCGATTTTTTTAATTTTAATTTTCGATTTTCCAGTTTTTCTTTTCTAAAATTTTTCGATTATTCAATTTTTTATTTTCTCGATTTATCGAATTCAGATGTTTCGTTGTTTTGATTGTTCAATTTCTCAATTTTTCAATTTTTAACTTTCCTTTTCGGCTTCCGACTCCTCAATTTCTCGATCCTCCGATTTTTCGATTTCTCGAAGTCTCAGTTTTTGAATTTTTCGATGTTTCGATTTTTGGGTTTTTCGGTTTTTCGATTTTTTTCTTTTGAGCTTTTCAATTTCTGGATTTTCCAATTTTTCAATGTCCCGATTTTTCAATTTTTCAGTTTTTCAAATTTTTGCGTTAAATTTTCAGTTTTCTGATTTCTCAATTAATCTATTTTTGATTTTCCCACTTCTCAAAGTTTCGATTTTTCAGTTCTTCAATTCTTCGATTTTTCGACTTCGCTTTATTGGTTTGTCGATTTCTCAATTTTTTGATATTTCTTTCAGTTTTGATATTTTTCAATACTTCGATTCTTTCATTTTTCGACTTCAAGATTTTTCTATTTTTTATTTTTGGATTTTCAGTTTTTTGTTTTTTATTTCAATTTCTCAATTTTTCAACTTTTCCGTATTTTAATTTTTAAATTTCTAGATTTTTCGGTTTCTCGAGTTTCCAGTTCTATATTTTAATTTTTTAAATTTCCGAATTTTTAAATTTTTTGAGATCTCAATTTATTGACATTCGGATGTTTCGATGTTTTGATTATTCAATCTCTCGCTTTATCAATTTTTCCACATTTAAGTTTTCGATTTTTCGATTTTGGCCCATTTCGGTTTCTCAATTTTTTGATTTTTCGACTTCTCGATTTTTCGACTCCTCGATTTTTTTGTCTTTTGATTTTTCGATTTCTCGATGTCTCAATTTTTGAATTTTACAATGTTTCGATTTTTCGATTTGTTGGTTTTTCGATTTTTTGCTTTTCGGTTTCTCGATTTTTCGATGTTTCGATTTTTGGTTTATCCGATTTTTCAATTGTCCAATTCGACTTCTCGATTCGTTGATTTTTCAGTTCTTCAGTTCTTCAATTTTTCTATTATTTGGGTTTTTGTTTTTCACTTTTTCGATTTTTTAAGTTTGCGATTTTTAGACTCTGCTTATTTGACTTTTCTGTTTCTCAATTTGTTAATTTCCTAATTTTTTGATATTTCGTTCAATTTTGTGATTTTTCAGTTTTTCGATTTCTCAATTTTAACTTTTCAATTTTTAAATTATTAATTTTTTTCGATGTTTTGAGTTTTCAGTTCTTCTATATTTCAATTTTTCAATTTTCGGAATTTTTAAATTTTCGATTGTCCAATTTTTTTTTATTTTTCGATTTTCCAATTTTTCGATGTTTCGATTTTTGAATTAACTGATTGTTCAATTTCTCGATTTTTAAATTTTAGATTTTCCAATTTTTATTTTTTTGATTCTTTTATGTTTCGATTTCTCGATTTTACAATTTTTCCATATTTGAATTTTTTAGTGTTTTAAATTTTCGATTTCGAGGATTTACTGTGTCACAGTAGTCATCAGTCATTACTCATAAAGAACGATTATTGCTGTGCGTTAAAATGCCTACATACTGATAAGCACGTGCATACGAGACACATTTAAGGCTGTTTTAAGTCTGCTAGATATAATTTTTGCAATTTTAAATTTATTTCTTGATGTCTAAATCGTATATATTTAAATGGTGATGAATATTTTGTGATGCAATCTTAGGATAAAATGCATTTTAGTTTCAAAGATAATATGTATTTAATGATTTGACTACTGCTAATGAAAAAAATACGTAAGAAGGTATACTGCGATAATATTAAATTGTTGTTACCTTAACCTTGAAACAGGCATGTACTACATATACATATATTACATATAGGTAAAGTCTTCAACACGTACGTTTGCTTATTTTGTGACTGCTCCCCGTACAACGTAGTGATTAATACGTCCGTTTACTACCTTATCGACATCACGTGCTTACGGACTATTTTTACCCCCTTTCGTAAGGTACCGCCACTTCATAGTGAAGCGAGTGAGATGTAAAATATATATTCATTCTTTTCTACATGGGAAAGTGATTGTCCGTATAGGTTGTCCAACTATAATATACTTAAACAATGGTTGGAGCAAACTTGAACGGTTAACTAGGTGATACATCCGACCGAGGTGGCGTCCACGAGTCCACCGCCCACCAGCCGTACCGAGAGCGTCCAGTGGTGCGCCCCGGCTCCGGCGGCTGGAGACGAGACCCCCACGTGGTGCCCCGCCACGAAGGCCAAACCCGGCCCTCGGTGGGCGGATCGAGAGTATACTCCTCCCTCCTCGACAACGTCTTAGACAACTCCAACCGGCGCCAGTACGGAATGGGCTGGGTCGGGCGAATGTTCGGGTAACCCCCACCCACACACTAATCAGTACCACCTCTACTTTTTTTCCTTTAGGAAATCGACGCAGAAACCCCTTGCTCAAGAAGAAAAGACTTCGCGCCACGTCGACCACATGGAGGACCACAGACCGATGTTCACTTACTGGGTCACCATAGTACAAATCTTGGTATTGTATACAACTTTGATGTGTTACGGCTTCGCCCCGTTCGGGGTCGACATGCAGTCGCGGTCCGGGCAGGTCCTCGTGGCGAGTCTGTCGCTCCAGCAGGTCGACTACACCGAGCCGGCGAATTTTTGGTGAGTCGCTCTAGAAAAACGTGCCGGGTTTGACGCGTCGTTGCAGGGGCGGACCCAGAGCCAGCGACTTGATCCATCTGGGGGCGAAGTTCGCGCCGTGCATGAGGGTAGACGACAGGATAGCGCACCAGATTGATAAGATAAGGGCGAAGGAGCGGGAAACGGCGTGCTGTATCAGGAACGACGGCTCCGGGTGCGTGCAGTCGTCGCAGGCGGATTGCTCAGTGAGTTTTCTAATTTAAATTGTAAACTTTAGCCTAGACGACGGAGAAGGGTTAGGGCACGTCTGCCACCCGCACAGGGGATCGATAATGTATGTAGCCACGAACACCGGCCAATTTTCATACGTGGGACGATAACTATTTGTAAATATTTACACAATGATGGAACCAGTAATGAAATGGCGGTTTTTGCATCTTTGACATTTATGGGCAAACGGCCGCACCGAACTAAACAAAATTTCAAACTTTTGGGCTCGAGGCGAGTACGAAACGAGAGCCGGAGCAAAAAATCCGGAAATTTGAATTTCATTCAAACAATAATAATGATGATGAGTGTGATAAAGCCGCGAAACGTCGCCAAAATTGGCTGGATTTTTGCAAGAATGGTCGTCGTGGTATCCCTAACAAACAATATTTTTTTGGGAGTGGTTGCGCGACTGCGCAAAAACGGTGGATAATTTCAACTATAACGACTTAACTTTCAAAAGAGGCCAACAAATGTATGTTGTGTTTGGTTTTCCTTCAGTTGAAAAAATTATGACCATCGGTAAGCTTTTGGGACCATGATTTTCGAAATATTGGCTTTCAAATCGATTTTTTTTTTAAATTCTAAAAAGTGTCATAATTTATTTGACGATTCTGGAAAAACGGTAAGAATTTTCGAACAACTGAAGCCGAAAATGACTTCTAGATGTCTCAATCTACAAAAGATGCCTTTAAGTAATTTTCGAAAATGGTTGAAAAAAGGTCAAACATTTTAAAATTGAAAAATCGATACTTTGGAAAAGTTGCCTAAAGGTTCGCAAAAAATTCTAGAAGAAAGAGAATTTGTCTTATTTCATTTGACGATTCTGGAAAAACGATAAGAAATTTTGTAGAACTGAAGTAAAACGACTTTTAGAGGTCAAAATATATAAAAATCCCCTTAAGTAATTCTCAAAAATGATCGAAAAAAAAAGTATTGAAAAACAAATTTTGGAAGTTACCTAAAAATCCGCAAAAAATCTAAAATATAGATTTCAAGATGTTCATCCGAAAAAAAAAATTGAAAAAGCGACATTTTGGAAAAATTATCTAAAAATTCGCAAAAAATTCTAGAATGTAGATGTCGATGTGTTGATTTGGAAAACATAGCGTACTGACGCTTTCATACCAAGACTTTCAAAATATTTGATTTGAAATCCAAATTTTTTGGAAAAGTCCAAAAATTTGCAAAATTTATTTGACGATTCTGGAAAATGATACGAATTTTTGCAGAACTGAAACTGAAAATAACTTCTAGATGCTGCAATCTACAAAAAATCCCTTTAACTAATTTTCGAAAATGGTTGAAAAAAGGTCAAAAATTTCAAACTTGAAAAATCGACATTTTGGAAAAGTCGACTAAAAATGCGCAAAAAAATCTAGAAAAGAGACGTCGACGTGCTGGTTCCAAAAATATAGCATGCTGATGCTTTGGGACCAAGGTTTTTGAAAAAGGTTTCCAAATTAAAAATCCAATACATTATCATATTCTGAAAAAACGGTCGGAATTTTCGAAGAAATGAAGCCGAAAACGACTTCTAAATGTGGCAATTTATGAAAAATTCCTTTAAATAATTTTCCAAAAGGGTAAAAAAAATCGAAAATTTTAAAGGGGCAAGTGTATTGAAAAATCAACATTTTGGAAAAGTTGTCTAAAAATTCCCAAAAAATTCTTGAATGTACATGTTGGCGTGCTGATTCGAAAAATATAGCGTGTTAATGTTTTCAGACCAAGATTTTCGAAATATTCGCTTTCAAATCGAATTTTTTTGTAAATTTTAAAAATTGTTATAATTTATTTGACGATTCTGGAAAAACGGTAAGAATTTTCGAAGAACTGAAGCCGAAAACAAATTCCGGATGTCGCAATCTACAAAAAATCCTTCTAAATAAGTAATTTTTGGAAAATGCTTGAAAAAAAATTTAATAAGGGAGAAGTACTAAAAAATCGAGATTCGGAAAAGTTGCCCAAAAATCCGCAAAAAAATCTAGAATTTCAACATGCTGATTCGGAAAAAAATGCGTGTTGACGTTTTCCGGCCAAAATTTTCGAAATATTCGGTTTCAGAATCAAATTTTTTGGGAATTCAAAAATTTGTCATATTTTATTTAACGATTCTGGGAAAACGGTAAGAATTTTCGAACATCTGAAGCCGATAACGACTATTAAATGGGGTAATTTAAAAAAAATCCCTTTAAGTAATTTTCGAAAATGGTCGAAAAAATGTCAAAAATTTCAAACTTGAAAAATCGACATTTTGAAAAAGTTGACTAAAAATGCACAAAAAAATCTAAAAGATAGATGTCAATGTGCTGATTCGAAAAACATAGCGTATTGATGCTTTCGTACCAAGATTTTCAAAATATTTGCTTTCAAATCCAAATTTTTTGGGAAGTCTAAAAATTTGTAAAATTTATTTGACGATTCTGGAAAGTTTATACGAATTTTGGCAGGACTAAAGCAGAAAATAACTTCTAGATGCTGCAATGTACAAAAAATCCTTCTAAGTAATTTTCAAAAACGGTAGAAAAAAGTTCATATATTTCATGTTGAATAATCGAAATTTTAAAGTTGCCTAAAATTCCGCAAAAAATTCTAGAAAAGAGTTGTCGACGTGCTGATTCCAGAAATATAGCGGGTTGATGCTCCGGAACCAAGGTTTTAGAAATATTCGCTTCCAAATTCCAAATTTTTGAAAATTCCAAAACTTTGCCATATTTTGACAATTTAAAAAAAACGGTATGACTTTTGCAAGAAATGAAGCCAAAAACGACTTTTAGATGTCCCAATCTACAAAAAATGCCTCTAAATAATTTTCGAAAATGGTAAAAAAAATCGAAAATTTTAGAGGTGTATTGAAAAATCGACATTTTGGAAAAGTTGGCTAAAAATTTCCAAAAAATTCTAGGATGTAGATTTTGACGAGCTGATTCGAAATATATAGCGTGCTAAAATTTTGGGACCAAAATTTTCTAAATATTCGCTTTCAAATCAAAATTTCTTAAAAATTCCAAAAATTGTTATACTTTATTTGACCATTCTTGAAAAACGGTAAGAATTTTCCAAAAACTGAAGCCAAAAACAACTTCTAGATGTCGCAATCTGCGAAAAATTCGAAAACATAATTTTCGAAAATAGTCGAAAAAAGTCCAAAAATTTCAAATTGGAAGAGTATTGAAAAACCGAGATGTTGGAACACTTGTGTTAAAATCCGTAAAAAATTCTAGAACATAGATGTCGACGTGCCGATTCGAAAAATAAAGCGTATGATGCTTTAGGACCAAGATTTTCAAAATTTCCGTGTTTAAAACTAAATTTTTTGAAAATTTTAAAAATTGTTACACTTTATTTGACGATTCTGGAGAAATGCTAAGAATTTTCGAACAATTAAAACCGAAAACCGCTTCTAGATGTCGTAATCTACAAAAAATCCCTCTCAATAATTTTAGAAAACGGTCAAAAAAGCTCAACAATTTCAGAGGGACGAGTATTGAAAAATTGACATTTTGAAAAAGTTGTTTAAAAATTCGCAAAAATTCTAGAATGTAGATGCTGACATTTTGATTCGAAAAATATAGCGTGCCAACAATTTTAGACCAAGACTTTCGAAATATTCGCTTTAAAATCGATTTTTTTTTTAAATTCTAAAAATTGTGATATTTTATTTGACGATTCTGGAAAAATGGTAAGAATTTCGAAGAACTGAAGCTGAAAACGACTTCTAGATGTCGCAATGTACAAAAACTTCCTCTAAATAATTTTCGAAAATGGTCCAAAAAAGTTGAAAAATTGTATATTGAAGGAGAATTGAAAAATTGGGGTTTTAGAAAAGTTGTTTAAAAATTCTCAAAAAATTCTAGAATGTAGATATTGAAGTACTGATTTCAAAAATATAGCGTGCTAATGCTTTCGGACCAAAATTTTCAAAATATTCGCTTCCAAATTCCAAATTTTTGAAAATTCCAAAACTTTGTCACATTTTCACAATTCTGAAAAAACTTTATGACTTTTCCAAGAAATGAAGCCAAAAATGACATTTAGATGTCTCAATCTACAAAAAATTCCTTTAAATAACTTTCGAAAATTTTAGAGGTGTACTGAAAAATCGACATTTTGGAAAAGTTTCCTAAAAATTCGCAAAAAATTCTAGAATGTCGATATTGACCTGCTGATTTCAAAAATATAGCGTGCTAATACCTTGGGACCAAGATTTTCAAAATTTTCGCTTTCAAATCACAATTTCTTAAAAATTCCAAAAATTGTTATACTTTATTTGACGATTCTGGAAAAACGGTAAGAATTTTCCAAGAACTGAAGCCAAAAACAACCTCTAGATGTTGCAATCTGCGAAAAATTCGAGAACATAATTTTCGAAAATAGTCGAAATAAGTCCAAAAATTTCAAATTGAAGGAGTATTGAAAAACCAAGATGTTGGAAAACATGTGTAAAAATCCGTAAAAAATTCTAGAATATAGATGTCGACGTGCTGATTCGAAAAATATAGCGTATGATACTTTAGGATCAAGATTTTCAAAATTTTCGTTTTTGAAACAAAATTTTTTGAAAATTCTAAAAATTGTTATATTTTATTTGACGATTCTGGAAAAAACTCTAGAATTTTCGAACAACTAAAACCGAAAACGGCTTCTAGACGTCGTAATCTACAAAAAATCCCTTTAAGTAATTTTCGAAAACGGTAGAAAAAAGTTCAAAAATTTTATATTGATTAAATAAGCGAGATGATAGAAAAATTGTCTTAAAATTCGGAAAAAATTATAGAATAGAGATGCCGACGTGCTGGTTCCAAAAATATAGGTGCTAATGTTTTGGGACCAAGGTTTTCGAAAAATTCGCTTTCAAATTCAAAATTTTTGAAAATTCCAAATATTTCTCATATTTTATTTGACGATTCTAGAATTTTCGAAAAACTGAAGGCGAAAACACCTTCTAGATGTCGCAATCTATGAAAAATTCCTTTAAATAATTTTCGAAAATGGTAAAAAAAATCGAAAATTTTAGAGGGGCGAGTGTATTGAAAAAACAACATTTTGAAAAAGTTAGTCAAAAATTCTCAAAAAATTCTAGAATGTAGATGTTGACGTCCTGATTCGAAAAATGTAGTGTTCTAACGCTTTCGGACCAAGATTTTCGAAACATTCGCTTTCAAGTTGATTTTTTTTTTTGAAAATTTTTAAAATCGTCATATTTTATTTGACGATTTTAGAAAAACGCTAAGAATTTTCCAAGAACTGAAGCCGAAAACAACGTCTAGATGTCGTAATCTACGAAAGATTCTAAAAAAGTCCAAAAATTTCAAATTGAAGGAGTATTGAAAAATCGAGATTTTGGAAAAGTTGCGTAAAAATCCGTAAAAAATTTTAGAATAGAGAAGTCGCCATGCTGATTCGAAAAATACAGCGTGGTGATGCTTTGGTACCAAGATTTTCAAAATTTTCGCTTTCAAACCAAATTTTTTGAAAATTCTAAAAATTGTTATATTTTATTTGACGATTCTGGAAAAACGGTAAGAATTTTTGAAGAAATGAATCCGAAAGCGACTTCTAGATGTAATCTACAAAAAAAACCCTCCAAATAATTTTCGAAAATGCTCAAAAAAAGTTCGAAAATTTTAGAGAAAAAATTTTGAAAAATCGACATTTTGAAAAATTTGTCTGAAAATTCACACAAAATTTCTAGAATGTAGATGGTGACGTGCTGATTCAAAAAATATAGCGTGCTCATGCTTTCAAACCAAGATTTTCTAAATATTCGCTCTCAAACTGAATTTTTTTGGAAAATTCTAAAAATTGTCATACTTTATTTGACGATTCTGGGAAAACAATAAGAATTTTAGAAGAAATGAAGCCGAAAACAACTTCTAGATGTCGCAATCTACGAAAAATTCGAAAAAATAATTTTCGAAAATAGTTGAAAAACTTCAAAAATATCTTCATATTAAAGAATAATTAAAAAATCGAAATTTTTGAAGTTGTATAAAAATCCGCAAAAAATTTTAGAATATAGATTTCGACGTGCTGATGATGCTTTGGGACCAAGTTTTTCAAAATTTTCACTTTCAAATTTTTTTGAGAATTTCAAAAATTGTTATATTTTATTTGTCTATTTTGGAAAACTGATATGGATTATCGAAAAACTGAAGCCTACAACAACTTCCAAATGTCGCAATCTACAAAAAACCCTTTAATAAGTAATTTTTGAAAATGGTTGAAATAAGGGAGAAGTACTGAAAAATCAAGATTTGAAAACATTGCCAAAAAATCCGTAAAAACTCTAGAATAAAGATCTCAACACGCTAATTCGAAAAAAATTGCGTGTTGGTTTTTCGACCAAAATTTTCGAAATAAGTATTCGGTTTCAGAATCAAATTTTTGGAAAATTAAAAAAAATTACGAAATATTCTAATAATTTTTATTTTCCAACGGTATTTCGCCTGTAATTACAGGAAAAAGAAAAATGGAAAGAAGACAAAATTAAAAATTAAAAATTACAAGAGTGTGAAAATTAAAAAAAAACAAAAAATTTCACGATTCTGGAAAAATTGTAGGAATTTAAAAAAATGAAGCCGAAAATGATTTCTGGAGTTCTAAATCTACAAAAATATCCCTTTAAGTAATTTTCGAAAACGGTATTCTTTGTGACCAAAGTTTTCGAAAAATTTGCTTTCAAATTCAAAATTTTTTGAAAATTCCAAAAATTCTTATATTTTATTTAACGATTCTGGAAAAACGATAAGAATTTTCAAAAAACAGAAATCCAGAACAACTTCGAGATGTTGCGATTTTCAAAAAACACTTTAACTAATTTTTGGAAAATGGTTGAAAAAATTGCATTAGGGAGGAGCACTGAAAAATCGAGATGTGGAAAAATTGCCTTAAAAATCCGCAAAAAATCTAGAATAACCAACATGCTGATTCGAAAAAAAAAAATGTGTATTGACTTTTTTCGGACAAAATTTTCGAAATATTCGGTTTCAGAATCAAATTTTTGAGAAATCAAAAAATTACCATATTCTAATAATCTTTATTTTCCAACGGTATTACACCCAATTACAGGAAAAAAAATGGCAACTGGACAAAAATAAAAATTAACAAAAATATCCTTCTAGATAATTTTCGGAGGCGGTCAAAAAACAATAATAATAATAATGAGTGTGATAAGCCGTTAAAAGTCAGCAAAATTGGCTGAATTTTTGGAAAATTGTTCCTCGCTGTATCCCCAACAAACAATATTTTTTGCGACCAGTTGCGCGCTTGCACAAAAACGGTAGATATTTTCACCGCTAACGACTTAACTTTAAAAGACTCTAATAAATGTGTGTTTGTGTTTGGCTTTCCTTCAGTTGAGAGGATTACGACCATCGGTAAGCCTGCGACGTTATTACCTTCTCCTCTATACAGCTCTTTTTCCCCAGAAAAACATTCCAAAGTGGAAAAAATGGAGCGCCGGGGACGCCGGCCCGGGCGGCCGAATCTCGGGGTCCGTGTGTGGACTGGACCCGAAGTACGTATGTTAAACGACGCGTCGAACCTTGATCGAATTTTTTCGTTTAGATTTTGCGACGCACCTGCCAACGTGCACCCCTACGAATGGCCCGACGACATCACAAAATGGCCGATTTGTCGCAAAACTAACACGGCTTTCTCCACGAAGCGTAGTGGAAGCAGGGACAAAAGCGCCGAGCATATGATTTGTGAGGTCATCGGTCATCCGTGCTGTATAGGAATTCAGGGACAGTGTAAAATAACGACGAAAGAGTATTGCGACTTCGTGCGGGGGACGTTTCACGAGGAGGCGTCATTGTGTTCACAGGTAAAGTGGCCTTAATTTACATACAGACTAGCCAAGTTGGCTAATCCTACCGACTGTGCCATTTTAACACTGTGTTTCCAGTCGCGCTTTGAATATAATGAACTTAAATGAATTTTTCGCGCTTTTTGTTGTGTTTTGTTTCGTGATTTATAGAAATAAGTTTGTTTAAAAGTTAATTTAGTGCGTCAGCTGGATTTTTACTATGATTTGAAAGTACTTTCGAGTTTTCATTAAAAGTTCTAGAACGCCTCTGCGATCCATAAAAAGTTGTTTTGACTGTGCGACTTGAGCGAGTAACGTTCCATCGATACTTTAATTATATCAAACGCGTGTGAAAAATATCGCCGTTGCGGATTTACAAGACGGAAAGTTGGGCCAAATCAACCATGAAAAGTTCACGTTATTGCTATTTAAGCTCGTCCTAAATAAAAAAAGTTTTAAATACACTGACAGATAATTTAAAATTCAACAAGTTCTCTAAAAGACGATACAACTTTTTGCAAATTAAAAAGCTCCTACGCTTTCATGGACGATAAAACAGGCGACATCAAATCCGAATCGTGCAACGAAATTAACTTTTTTTTGTTCCGAGTCAAAGATATCGTCCAGCCACGTCACATCTAATCGATCGCCGTCAATTTCCGAACCCCTGTAACTTTTATGGAACGGTAAATGCAGAAATCATGTAAACAGTAAATTTTTCAAGCCAACAACCCCAATCGTAATAAATAATTCCGCGCCTTCAAAATTCGACCATAGCCCCCGGCTACGCCGCAATTGTTTTCGAGCGCAAACAAACTCCACGTCAGTCAAAAACTACGTACATTAATTAATATTCTCGGGAAGCGTCGGGATTTAATTAAGGAACAAAATACACCATCAAATTTTTATTGCGAAACTTCGGCCTGCCTTTATGATAAATTTCGCAGGTGTCTTGCCTCAACGACGTGTGCGGAATGCTGCCGTTCTATTTCCCCGAAACGCCCGATCAGTTCTATAGGGTCTGGAGCTCGCTGTTTCTCCACGCCGGCAAACTCCACCTGGTCGTGACCATCCTCATCCAGTACTTCTTGATGCGCGACCTCGAGAAGCTCACCGGCAGCCTCCGCATCGCCATCATCTACATCGGCTCAGGTGCGGCGGGCAACCTGGCCAGCGCCATCTTCGTGCCGTATCGAGCCGACGTAAGTCACGTCATTGTTTAAGTATATTATAGTTGGACAACCTAATACAAATTTTACTTCGCCTAAATAGTGAGCTTTAGGACAAGGAATCCAGGGGGCGTGGGACAAATTTTTCGTCAACGCACATTTTCACTACAGTGAGCCAACGTATTAGGTTTATTTTACTCTACATCAGATGGCGCCATCAAACATTAGCAAAGGCAAACACCCTTCACTCTGCTCTTATACGAGGAGTTATCCATAAATCCATAATTAACATTGTTCCGTAAACAGTAATGTGTATAAACATATACGTACAAAATCTGAAAATATGCTTGACATAAAAAATATGAAGCAACGCGTTGTAACGTGATACGAAAGAATTTAATTTAAATGCATTTGACTCCTATTTTTATTTGACTATATCTGAAGACTGACAGAAACTTTCCAAGGGTTTTTAAACTGGTATAATTGTTTAGTTTTACAAGATTAAAGTAAAACAAGATTTTAAGTAAAATGTAGATTCGTGGTTTTACAAAAATATTAACACAAAATGAAAATATATGTTCAAAGTAAATAACAGAATGACATAAACTTTCGGCGTTAACATTACAAATAATTACAAGAGAGAAAAAAACGCATTAAGAACTTTAGAGGCATGTTTGTAATATCGAGTTGTTAAAGGCTGCTTTGAAGACTGTTTGTTTCTATGAAAAACAATTGCTGTTATCCGACATTTTGGTAGATTTTGTTAAAAAAATACGAGATAGCTAATTGTTTCTTGAACTAGTTTCCGTAACTTCTAAAATTTAAAAAGGATACGCCGTTCTGCTGTAATAAAATCTAGAATAAGGTCAAAATCACACTAATATTACATCTGATTTTGTTAACCACATGAATATAATTTACATTAAAATAAGTTACGGACATTGTTTGAAATGTTTATTATAGTTCGAAAACAAGATAAAATAAATAAATAAAGAAATAAAATGTGCAGTTTATAAACTTCAGAATTTTAGTAAAAATATAATCATGTTTGAAGCTTTATTTTGTCTGTTCGATTTTATTGGGTGTATTGGGCCCCTCTCGGGATATAACATCGACATCAGTGCACCGACCCAACGTTCTTCAACCGATGGGATGATTTATTAATTGTGTTCTTCACTTCGCGAACGACAGCAAACAATTTAAAATTACCGCTAGTCAAGCACATGAAAATCCATCTCTCCCAAATATGTCTTTCTTGGCACGATTTGTAATCCGAAGTCTCCCTCCACATGCAATTTTTCGTCACCTGAGAACTTGTTTGATCTACAGACCAAAGCACACTCAGGCCAATATCGGCTTTAAGCGATTTATCTATAAACCGATATTCGTTAGAGTTGATCTAATACACATCCACTACGAAGAACTAACCCATTTCGACCATTGGACTTTACAACGAATAAGTGAACAAAGTTCTTGAACATCTTAACAATTTAATACATAATGTTCCCGAATGACAAAATTTACATTTCAAATTGTATTATCAAATTACGCTCTCCAAAATTTGTCAAATTTTACAATAGTAAAATTGTAGTTTCGCCCCGTTTACGGTTTATGCATCCGTGTCGAGTTTTCAGCTTAGACGTCAAGATTTTTGGAAAAAAAAATCAACGTTTTCCAATTTATAATGTTATTTAAATTTTAAAAAGTAGAATAGTCCTGATCTTGTGATTTATACCTAAATACGCTATTGGGATTTTTCGTCTTGTCGATTTCTCCATTTTTCAACTTTAAATGTCTCAATTTTTCAATATTTCAATTTTGGGCTTTTCCGATTCCTCCATTCTTTAAATTTTCTATTTCTTGATTTTTTTATTTTTCGATTTCTCAATCTTTCGATGTTTCAATGATACGATTTCTCAATTTTTGTCCTCTTCAATTTTACGGTTTTTAAATATTTCGATTTTTCAATTTTTCAAATTTTCACGTTTCTAAATTTTCAGTTTGCCGATTTCTAAAGTATTTTTTTTTATTTCTCCATTTCTGGACTTCCTAAAGTTTAGATTTTTCACATCTTCAATTCTTCAATTTTTCGATTTTTTAAGATTACGATTTTTCAATTTTGCTTTTTTAGATTTTCGATTTCTCAGTTTTCCAATTTTTTCATTTCTCAATTTTTTGAATATTTCTTTCAGTTATGAGATTTTTCAATATTTCAATTTTTCGACTTTTCGATTTTTGAATTGACGGATTTTTTTGATTTCTCGATTTTTTACTTTTTGAATTTTCAATTTATTGTAAACTTTAGATTTTTCAATTCTGCGACTGTTTAATGCTTCGATTTCTCAATTTTTAAACTTCTCGATGTTTTAATATTTCATTTTTTTAAATTCTAGGTTTTTCGATATCTCGAGTTTTCAGTTCTTCTATATTTCAATTTTTCAATTTTTCGATTTTTTTAATTTTAATTTTCGATTTTCCAGTTTTTCTTTTCTAAAATTTTTCTATTATTCAAATTTTTATTTTCTCAATTTATCGAATTCAGATGTTTCGTTGTTTTGATTGTTCAATTTCTCAATTTTTCAATTTTTCAATTTTTAACTTTCCTTTTCGGCTTCCGACTCCTCAATTTCTCGATCCTCCGATTTTTCGATTTCTCGAAGTCTCAGTCTTTGAATTTTTCGATGTTTCGATTTTTGGGTTTTTCGGTTTTTCGATTTTTTTCTTCTGAGCTTTTCAATTTCTGGATTTTCCAATTTTTCAATGTCCCGATTTTTCAATTTTTCAATTTTTCAAATTTTTGCGTTAAATTTTCAGTTTTCTGATTTCTCAATTAATCTATTTTTGATTTTCCCACTTCTCAAAGTTTCGATTTTTCAGTTCTTCAATTCTTCGATTTTCCGACTTCGCTTTATTGGTTTGTCGATTTCTCAATTTTTTGATATTTCTTTCAGTTTTGATATTTTTCAATACTTCGATTCTTTCATTTTTCGACTTCAAGATTTTTCTATTTTTTATTTTTGGATTTTCAGTTTTTTGTTTTTTATTTCAATTTCTCAATTTTTCAACTTTTCCGTATTTTAATTTTTAAATTTCTCGATTTTTCGGTTTCTCGAGTTTCCAGTTCTATATTTTAATTTTTTAAATTTCCGAATTTTTAAATTTTTTGAGATCTCAATTTATTGACATTCGGATGTTTCGATGTTTTGATTATTCAATCTCTCGCTTTATCAATTTTTCCATATTTAAGTTTTCGATTTTTCGATTTTGGCCTATTTCGGTTTCTCAATTTTTTGATTTTTCGACTTCTCGATTTTTCGACTCCTCGATTTTTTGTCTTTTGATTTTTCGATTTCTCGATGTCTCAATTTTTGAATTTTACAATGTTTCGATTTTTCGATTTGTTGGTTTTTCGATTTTTTGCTTTTCGGTTTCTCGATTTTTCGATGTTTCGATTTTTGGTTTATCCGATTTTTCAATTGTCCAATTCGACTTCTCGATTCGTTGATTTTTCAGTTCTTCAGTTCTTCAATTTTTCTATTATTTAGGTTTTTGTTTTTCACTTTTTCGATTTTTTAAGTTTGCGATTTTTAGACTCTGCTTATTTGACTTTTCTGTTTCTCAATTTGTTAATTTCCTAATTTTTTGATATTTCGTTCAATTTTGTGATTTTTCAGTTTTTCGATTTCTCAATTTTAACTTTTCAATTTTTAAATTATTAATTTTTTTCGATTTTTTGAGTTTTCAGTTCTTCTATATTTCAATTTTTCAATTTTCGGAATTTTTAAATTTTCGATTGTCCAATTTTTTTTTATTTTTCGATGTTTCGATTTTTGAATTAACTGATTGTTCAATTTCTCGATTTTTAAATTTTAGATTTTCCAATTTTTATTTTTTTGATTCTTTTATGTTTCGATTTCTCGATTGTACAATTTTTCCATATTTGAATTTTTTAGTGTTTTAAATTTTCGATTTCGAGGATTTACTGTGTCACAGTAGTCATCAGTCATTACTCATAAAGAACGATAATTGCTGTGCGTTAAAATGCCTACATACTGATAAGCACGTACATACAAGACACATTTAAGGCTGTTTTAAGTCTGCTAGATATAATTTTTGCAATTTTAAATTTATTTCTTGATGTCTAAATCGTATATATTTAAATGGTGATGAATATTTTGTGATGCAATCTTAGGATAAAATGCATTTTAGTTTCAAAGATAATATGTATTTAATGATTTGACTACTGCTAATGAAAAAAATACGTAAGAAGGTATACTGCGATAATATTAAATTTTTGTTACCTTAACCTTGAAACAGGTATGCACTACATATACATATATTACATATATGTAAAGTCTTCAACACGTACGTTTGCTTATTTTGTGACTGCTCCCCGTACAACGTAGTGATTAATACGTCCGTTTACTACCTTATCGACATCACGTGCTTACGGACTATTTTTACCCCCTTTCGTAAGGTACCGCCACTTCATAGTGAAGCGAGTGAGATGTAAAATATATATTCATTCTTTTCTACATGGTAAAGTGATTGTCCGTATAGGTTGTCCAACTATAATATACTTAAACAATGGTCACGTCAATTGTGTTGTCGTTTTTTCATCCTTGCACTTGCGAATGCGTCTTGCAGGTGGGCCCCGCCGGCTCGCACTTCGGTCTGCTGGCGTGCTTGATCGTGGAGGTGCTGAACGCGTGGCCTCTGCTCAAGCACCCCACCCAGGCGTTGTGCAAGCTCCTCTCCATCACTCTGCTCCTCTTCCTCATCGGTCTGCTGCCCTGGGTCGACAACTACGCCCACCTCTTCGGCTTCGTCTTCGGTTTCATTCTGTCGTACGCCCTGCTGCCGTTCATCTCGTTCGGGGCGTACGAGAGGCGGAAGAAGGTCGTGTTGATCTGGGTCTGCTTGCTATCCGCCGGGTTCCTCTTCATCTCGCTGGTGCGGCTCTTCTACTTCATTCCCGTGTACGACTGCAAGATCTGCTCGTACTTCAACTGCATCCCCTTCACGCGGGACTTCTGCGCCTCGCAGAACATCCACTTCAAGCGGGAGGAGCCCGTAGTATGACGAAAGATTTCACGGTTTGTAACCGTTTTGAGTTTTGTTGTGTTCGATGGGTTTTGTTGCTTTTGGTTTTACCCTGACCTGACGCGGCGCGGTGGAAAGTGGTGTTGTGATAATACAAGACAGTGCAGAAACTGCGATTTAAAACATGTGATACAGACTATATCGGTATATTTAAGACGTTCATTTTAAGATATGTGCAATGAATTTGTTTATGTTGGCAACGAAACTCAGCTACAATGAACTCGGTTCGCTTTGGCTTGGTTCCGACGTTTACCCGAACAAGCTTGGATGTTTGCTTCATGGAGTTACCAAAAAGTGCCCTTTCATGTTTACTCGTTTAGGCATTCGGTTCTGTTTTTACCCTTTCGTGCTGGGATCACCCTCAGGGGGCATCCCCGAACTTATTGAAGCAAACAGCGACCGGCAGATCGATGGATATGTAACCATTTACAATAGACTCATTTATATGTGTTTAATTATAAATTTATCAAGAGATATTTTCATCACTACTATAGAAACTCTGTATAAATTATATAAGCATGGATGATGTGTATATACGCAGTATGGTGGTGTTAATGTTAATTTTTGTAAGATTACCCCTCTGAGATAAAAGTCTTTATTTGTCTACATAAAAACTTCACTTTGTTGTATCCAAGGGGGGCGGCGAGCCCATACTCGATACCTGTACCCGGACCCATGACCGGGTGCTGCGTTTCGGTGTGCGCGACGCGCACACCCCCACCGGCCGGCCCGCCAACGTTCCGACGATATTCTAACAAAATTGCCAAAATTCGAAATCATTTGTGCTTCGTCTTCTCGGTTTGGCGAACGTTGCCGAGATCGGCCGAGCCGACTACCCACGATATATATTATAATGTAATGATCGTAACGTCTGTAGAGTTGCGTTTATCGTTTGCCCCAACCGCATGGTCTTGCTCTCGTTTCGATTTTTGACGAATCCATCATGTGATCTCCTCGAGCATTTGAATTTTGTCCGTATCATAGCCAGTGATGTAAATCGATTTTATAACTACAGTAGCTATTTATATTTGTGTAGGCTTTGATTTTTTGACATTTTGACTGATATTCAATATCAATGTACACTGCAATTGTACAAAAGTTGCGCTGGTTCTTTTCGGATGATAAATTTACGACTTTTGTAACGCTTTTTACCGAAATCAGTCGGTCGACAGGGCCGTCTTGATCGTTTTCCAAACAGACGTTGCATTGTGTATTACGACTGACGATTATATTACGTTTCAACAATTGTACAGTTACATTGTAATATTATAAAATCAGGTGTTATCACTAAGACCAAGCCTTAACATTATAATAATATAATAAATTACTTCTGCACATAACTGACACAAGTGTCTTCTTTACCCTTTTTTTTTTAATTTAATCCCGATTTTACTCTACGCCACTGCCTATGCACGAAACGTGTGCTGATTTTGCAAAACCACCCTTATTGACATTGGAGTCCTCAACCGCCAAAGACAAGCGCAAAACGTCTTAAACTAAGAATATTGTTGAAATCGTAATAACCCAATGGATTTTTCCGGGAAAATGTTTTAGAAACACTGTATGAATTTTTAAATGTTTTTAGTGACAATTTTTGTGGTTGTTTTCGATATTAACAGTGACAAAAAAAAAGAAAAAATTAAAATAATCGAAAAATCGAAAAATCTAATAATCGAAACATCGAAAAACTGGAAAATCGAAAAACTGAAAAATAAGTTAAAAGTTGAAAAATTGGAAAAGCGGAAAAAATTAATTTCATAATACAAAAATTTTAAAATTAAAACCGGAAAACTAAAAAATCCTAATAATTATTTGAAAAACGTGAAAAATTAAAAATCGGGAAATTTAAAAATGAAACAATTAGAAAATTGTAAATTTGAAAAAAAAAATAAAAACGTAAAATCGAAAGTTTGTAACTTTGAAACCTGAAAAAGTGATAAATTAAAAATTGAGAAATTGAAAAATCGAAAAAACGAAAAATTGTAAAAAGATGGAAAATCGAAAAATTAAAATATCTGCAAATTAAAAAATCGAAACATACAAAAATTTTACTGAAAAATAAAAATAACCATAATGAAAATCGAAAAACTAAAAAATCGAGAAATCGAAAAATGTAAAAACAAAAATTCAAAAATCTCGAATTGAGAAAATAAAAAATCGAAGAAACGAAACAACGTGGAATTGCATATTTGGAAGTGCTTTATTTTTAATTTTTCATTTTTTAATTTTTCAACAAAAGAACAAACTTATTAAAACTGAAATTTTAAAAAATCGAAAAAGAAACATTGAGAAATTTAAAATTTGAGAAATCGAAGGACTGCAAAAATGAAGAAACTCAAAATCGAATAATTAAAAGGTCAACAGTTGGAAAAGGAAAAATTGTAACCTTAAAAATGAAAAAACTGAAAATTTAAAAAACAGAAAAATCAAACAATTGCAAAATTTAAAATCAAAAATAGAAAAAACGAAATTTGACACACCGAGAAATTTAAAAATTATAATGTTAAAACTTGAGAAATTGAAAACTTTGATAATTGAAAAAACAATTGAAAATTTGAAAAAGTTAAAAGTTGAAAAATTGGAAAAGCGTAAAAATAAAAAAAAATGGAAAACTGGAAAAACTGATAAATCGAAAACCTAAACAATCAAATCCCGCTAAATCGGGAATGAAAAATTAACAAATCGAAAAATTGAAAAACAGAACATCTAAAACCAGGCAGTCGAAAAGTCGAAAGATTAAGAAATATTGAAAAATCAAAATATCAAAAGATTGGAAAATCTAAAATTTAAAAATCCAAAAATAGAAAAATCGAAAAAGTAAACAGGTAGATACATCGAAATATCCAGAAGTCAAAAATAAAAAAGCCGAAGAATTGAAATATTGAAAAATCGAAAAATCCAAAAAGCGAAGTCAAAAAATAGAAACCTTAAAAAATCGAAAAATTGAAGAATCAAAAACCTGAAAAATCAAAAAATTAAAGAACAGGAAAATCGAAAAATTGAGAGTTTATAAAAGTCAAATTTGAAAAATCAAAAAATCGAAAATTTGACAAAATGACAATTGAAAAACAGCAAATCTAAAACCGGGAAGTCGAAAAATCAAAAGATTAAGAAATCGAAACATTTGAAAAATTCAAATATCGAAGAACTGAACTGAAAAATCGAGAATTAGAAAAATCTAAAATTAAAAAAAATAAAAAATCTAAAATTTAAAAATCGAAAAATTGAAAAATCGAAGTAAAATCGAAAAATCCAGGAGTCAAAAATCGACATGTCGAAGAATCGAAATATTGAAAAATTCCAAAACTGAGATATCGAAAAACTGAAAAATGGAAAACCTGAAAAATCCGAAAACTGACAACCTAAAAAGTCGAAAAATTGAGCAATCGAAAAATCCAAAAAGTAAAGTCGAAAAATTGAAACCTTAAAAAAATAAAAAATCAAAAACCTGAAAAATCGAAAAATTAAAGAATTGAAGAACGGGAATATCGAAACACTCGAAAGTCAAGAAATGGGAAAATCAAAACATCGATTAATTGAAAAATCGAAAAGTTAAAAATTGAACAATTTATAAATTGAGAAATTGACAATCAATATCGAAAAATCAAAAAACTTAAAAATTCGAAAAATTGAAAAATTGGGAGATTGAAAGATTCAAAGAACGAGAAATCGAAAAGTGATGAAGTCGAAAAATCGAAAAGTAGAGAAATCGACAAACAAAAAGTTAAAAGTTGAAAAATTGGAAAGGCGGAAAAATTAAAAAACAAAAAAATGGAAAACTGGAAAAACTGAGAAACCGAAATCGGCCAAAATAAAAAACAGAACATCTAAAACCAGGAAGTCGAAAAATCGAAAGATTAAGAAATATTAAAAAATTAAAATATCAACAGATTGAAAAATCTAAAATTTAAAAAACCAAAAATCGAAAAATCGAAGAAGTAAAATTGAAATGTCGAAGAATCGAAATATTGAAAAATTTCAAAACTGAGAACCTAAAAAGTCCAAAAATTGAGCAATCGAAAAATCCAAAAAGTGAAGTCAAAAAATCAAAACCTTAAAAATACTAAAACATGAAAAATCGAAAAATTAAAGAATTGAAGAACAGGAATATCGAAACCCTCGAAAGTCAAGAAATGGGAAAATCAAAACATCGATTAATTGAAAAATCGAAAAATTGACAGTTTATAATTGTTAAATTTGAAAATTTGTAAAAACGACAATTGAAAAACAGAAAATCTAAAACAAGGAAGTCGAAAAATCGATTGTTTAAGAAATCAAAACATTTGAAAAATTCGAAAACTTGAAAAACTGAAATATCGAAGAACTGAAATGAAAAATTTAGAAATCGAAAAATCTAAAATTTTAAATATTAAAAAATTGAAATACCAAAAAATTGAGAAATCTAAAACCGAGGAGTTCAAAAATCGAAAGATCGAGAAATCAAAACATTAAAAAATTCGAAATTCGAAATTATGAAAAAGACAAATCGAAGAACTGAAAAATGGAGAAATTTAAAAATCCCAAAACTGAAATGTCGAAAAATTGGGAATTCGAAAAACTGACAAATCGAAAAATCGGAAAATTTGACAATCGACAAATCGAAACCTGAAAAGAGCGAAAAATCGAGCTGTCGGGAAGTTAAAAAATCGACAAATCAAAATAGCCCAAAATCGAAAAATTGAAAAATTAAAAAGTCGAAAATCTTGAAAAATCGAGAACATTGAAAAGTCTAAAAGTAAAAAAAATTGAAAATTCGAAATACATACTGAGAAGTAGAAAAATCGAAGAACTGCAAAACAAGACAACGAAAAATTAAAATATGGAAAAATTTAAGAACCGGAGAATTGAAAAATCCAGAAATTGAAAAAATCCCAAAACTGAAATGTCGAAAAATTGGGAAATCGAAAAACCGAAAAATCGAAACACTTGAAATATCAAGAAATCGAAACGAAAAGCAGAAAATTGAAGATTTTACTTTTCGGTACATATTTTCGAATTTTCAAATTTTTGACTATTCAATTTTTCCAATTTCTCGATTTCCCGATTTATCGGGTGAGACATTTCGATTATTGAATTTTTGAGTTTTTCATTGTCGATTTGTCGATTTTTTGACCTCGCGACTTCTCGATTTCTGATCTTTTCAAGTTTTAATTTTCCGATGTTTCAATTTTTCAGCTTTTTGATTTTTGGAGTAGTCGATTTTCAAATTTTCAGTTACCGAATTTTTCAATTTCTCCATTTTTCAGTTTCACCATTTTTCAGTTCTTTGATTTTGAAAATTGAAAAATCGAAAATTTGAAAAAACGACTATTGAAAAACAGAAAATCTAAAACTGAGAAGTCGAAAAATCGACGGATTAAGAAATCAAAACATTTGAAAAATTCGCAAACATGAAAAACGGAAATATCGAAGAACTGAAATGAAAAATCGAGAAATCGAAAAATCTAAAATTTTAAATATTGAAAAATTAAAATACCAAAAAATTGAGAAATCTAAAATTTAAAAATCGAAAAAGTAAAAAGTCGACACATCGAAAATTCCAGAAGTCAAAAATGGAAATATTGAAAAATCCCAAAACTGAAATATCGAAAAACTGAAAAATGAAAGAAAAACTGACGAACTGAAAAATCCCAAAACTGAGACTCTAAAGAATCGAAAAATTGAGAAATCGAAAAATGAAAAAAGTGAAGTCGAAATATCGAAACCTTAAAAAAATCGAAAAATTGAAAAACCAAAAACCTGCAAAATCGGAAGATCGAAAAATTGAATAATAAGTAAACTGAAAAATCCCAAAACTGAAATGTCCAAAAACTGAGAAATTAAAAAATAGAAAAAATGGAAAAACGAAAAACCAAAAAAGTGAAGTTGAAAAATCGAAACCTGAAAAAATAGAAAAATTGAAAAACCAAAAACCTGAACAATCAGTCAATTGAAAAATCGACAAATAAAGAGTTTATAAGAGTCAAAAATTGAAAAATCGAAATATTTAAAAATCGTAAAATTGAAGAGAAAAACTGAAAACCTAGAAATTGAAAAACTGAGAAATTGTAAAATCCAAAAATTGAGTAATAAATAGGACTAAACTGAAAAGTCCCCAAACTAAAATTTCGAAAGTTGAAACAAATATTGTAGTTAATTTTATTCCTTGTTAGAAACAAACACTGTTGCCAACATAATTCGCTTATCTATGTTCTCTGGTAGTACCAACCTCAGCCAAAACCCCTAGATACAAAACGTCGAATTTAAACCACTTTTTTCTCGATAATTTATTACACACTATACATTACAACGCTCCCTAATCTACGCTCACTTCTTGTTGCCCCCCGGCTGTCTTTTCGGCTTCGCCTTGCCCCTAAGCAGCCTCATCCTCTCCATTTCCTCTTTGAAATCTTCATGTTCGTCCCTATATAGCCCGTAGTGTCTCAAATACCTCATCAGCCAGCCAGTTTCGATGTGTCGGGGATAATAATGCGTGACTTCTCTCCTCAAATTCAAAGGTTTCTCACTGTACATTCGAACCACCTTCATGGACTTGGAATTCGTCGGTCGCGCCACTTCTCCAAAAATTCGATTACTCAGTCGCAACATCCTGCGGGCGTATTCTGTGGAAAGTTTCGTTAAATCGGCGTACTTGGCGTATTTACTCATTTTAAGCGACTCGTAGCGAAACCAAAAGTGAGGTTAGGTAAACAGGCGTGATAGATGGCGCCACTTATGCGAACCCCAAAACAGCAAAAAATGCGCTTATTCGTAACCAATACTCACGAATTTATTACAAATACACATCCTCGAATACTCTTATTTGATTAAACCAACAGGGACAATTTTATTTCGAATTATTACAAAGTAATTGGTGTAGAAACCTGCATTGCCGGCGCAAACGTCAATGTCAACGTCAACGTCAAACTTGAGGTTATCCCAAATTCCTTAATTGTTTACAAATTACTCAGTTATGTCTTAAAGACGGGATTAGGTGAGTGCGTGCCATCCCAGACTCCAACTCACGACTTTTTTGCAGTTATCTAGTCCTTAAGATGAGTTACTTCTGTGATGTGGCATTTCCGGCAATCCAATAATTTGTTGATTTTTTGTACGTTGATGCTGTGTGCAGGCTTTATGTTACAGTTCAAAGTGTTGTATAACAATCACCAGAAGCAACTAAGGATACAGGAAATCGAGGAAAGGGTGGGTTCGAATAGCGTTCTTGAGCGCTTTTAATTTTGTTTCGTAGATGACTGAGCTTGCTGTGAATCTACACACCGTCGAGGGTGTGGCGAACTCCACCAACGTGCTAATCAGTAAACTGCGGCGGACTGTGAGACAAAAAAGCCGCAGGGGCAAATTCAAGAGTTGACCGGAATGAAACCACCTATGATTAAGCTTCAAGTCAATTCTACACCACTAACTGCTTTAAATCTACTTTTAATTAATTTGTTGATCTGTTGGAATTTTAGACGTTGTTATTAATTTATGGGAATGTTGTATATGGAACTAGCACAAATTCTAGAGTGACGAAAAATTGCCATATTTATATAGATGTTTTATAAATTGTTTAGAAAATGTGACAATAAATATATTTTTGTGTTAGGGATTTACATATTGTCCAGGGTCATACATTGGGGGTTATTTTTATAGGCGCCTTTGTCTTCGAGAACGGCGTGCGGGGAGCAAATCCAAGGATCGCGAGTTTTGTTTTGCCAATCATACAACTGTGTCTCGAGGTCTTGCATTATTTTTTTGTAATCAGGCTTCCCAGCTAAGTTGTTTAGTTCTTCAGGGTCATGTTTCAAGTCGTACAGTTCCCACTCAGGTCTGTTATAATATTGTTTCAAGGTTTTGAACCAATAAGTATTTTCTTTGTTGATTGTGCGGTTTAAAATGTCCTAGGAAAAATTGTGAAAACGTCGCTAATTATGAAATAAAACTCACCTGAAACGTGGGTGAAATGTAGAAATCTTGGTCAATCGGAAACGCGCTTTGGTAGTTCAAATTGTGTATTAGTTTGTAGCGATGGGTTCTGACCATGCGCATGGGATAGTACATGGTCACTTCGTGTAACGAGTGACTCGCAAACACCCTCTCATTGGTCACATTCTTGGGTTCTTTAGTTAAAAGTGGTAACAGACTCTTTCCTGTTAATTCGATTGGTGCGACGTCATTGCTGTCGTCAATCCCGAACCAATCAAGAATCGTCGGCACTACATCGAGTAGACTGGTCAACGAATACGTAACCTGATTCCATCTCTCTCTATGCAACGGAGACGAAATGAACATCGGCTCAGCGATTCCCGAGTCGTACAAGTTCGTGCGTCCGTTCGGAAAGGGAATCCCGTTATCCGAACTATATATAACTAGAGTGTTGTTGTCGAACCCTGCATCCTTGAGTTCCTTCAGGATTAAGCCAACCCCTTGGTCCAGTCGCGATATTGTCGTGTATTGTTCCGCTACGTCTTTCCTCGCCTGGATGGTATCCGGGATGAAGTACGGCAAGTCGATTTCGTCGTACTGGTAATAAATGGGTTGCCAATCGGGAATTAGACCCATCCCTTCATCACCATTCCCGAAACTTTCACAAAAATTACCGTACTCTGGATTAGTGTGGCCACAGCGGTGAGGGTCGTGGAACGCTACATACAAGAAAAACGGCCTGAGAGACAATATTGTGTGTATTGTACAAAATTGTTTACTTTTGTTGGGTGTAGTTTTGCAAAAACTGGCGGGTTAGTAGTTTCATGAAAGTGATGTTGCGCCCCACTTGTAGAACCGAGTGGTTTTCTTCAGTTTGCTCGTAGTCGAACTTGTAGGTGTCTTTCGGACCGACGTCCTTTTTCCCGATTATCCCGGTGGCGATTCCGTGCTCCCGTAGGATATTGGGGAGGGATTTGACGTCCGAGAACGAGTTAAAGTGGTGAACACCCTGGTGCAGACCGTATATCCCGTTCTGGTGTGACGGCATCCCGGTTAACAGAGCGGAGCGGCTGGGGGAGCAACTACTGACAGACGTGTAGGCGTTGTTGAAAATTAGACTTTTATGGGCTAAAGCATCCAGATTTGGTGTTTGACAGATTCTATTCCTGTATGTACCCATTTCGAAACCTCCATCGTCAGCTACACATAGTTATCAACAAAATGTCAAAAATAGGCAACCCAAAATACACCGCAACATATTAAAACCCCTAGTCGAGTGTGCGCTGCGCCGCCTATGGTGCACCCCTAACCTCACTTTCCTCAATTGCACAATTCCCCGCAATGAAATAATGCAGTGACGTGTCCTCCGTAAACAAACTCACCCAGAATCAGCAAAACGTTCAGTTTGTCGTCGCTTCCGGCTGAACTTTGCGCCAAAATCAGCAGTACGAAGAGCAAACCGGCCGCCTCCATCTTCATTCCTGGCAATTTGGGAGCCAAATTCAAACCGCAATGTCACCCAAGAAGATTATGTGTTTGTTCGACGTGGATGGCACCCTTACCAAGGCCCGCCAGACCATAGACCCCGCCTTCGACGAGTTCATCCAGACCAAAATCAAACCCTTGTGCACCCTGGGCGTGGTCGGAGGGTCAGACTTCAAGAAAATCGCTGAACAACTCAACGGCGACGACATGATCTTCCGCTTTGACTACGTGTTCCCGGAAAACGGGCTGGTGCAGTTCAAGTTCGGGAAAGAAGTGGGACGACAGAGTATCCAGAAATTCATGGGTGAAGAGAAACTGCAGACGATTATTAATTTCTCGCTGGGGTACTTGGCGAAGGTGGTTCTACCCGTGAAAAGGGGCACCTTCATTGAGTTCAGGTCCGGGATGTTGAATATCTGCCCGATTGGAAGGTCGTGCTCGCAGGAGGAAAGGGACAGTTTTGAGAAGTACGACAAGGAGTTTCAGGTGCGGCAGACCATGATTGACGTCCTCAAGAAAAAGTTTCCCGATATTGGGTTATCGTACGCGATAGGGGGGCAGATTAGCTTCGACGTGTTCCCGCACGGGTGGGACAAGACTTACTGTTTGCGACACCTGGAGACTGAAGGGTTCGACGAAATACACTTTTTCGGGGATAAGACTGACGAAGGGGGGAACGACCACGAGATTTTCAACGACCCGAGGACCATCGGACACAAAGTCACCAGTCCTGAGGACACGAGAAAACAGCTTGTGCAACTTTTCAACTTATGAGATTCATTGTTTATTAAAAATTATTGTCCAATGTAATTCGGTTTTCTTTTGTCGTTGAAAGCTTGCAACCCTTCCAGTCGGTCTTTCGTTGGTATAACTTGAGCGTAGCAGGCTTCTTCTATCGCTAGACCCGTACTTAAATCAGCTTCTAGTCCTCTATTGATGGCTTTCTTGGCCATGCGTATCGCCACAGGCCCGTTCGGCAAAATCTCTCTTGCTAGTTCAAGCGACTTAAGATAAGCCGCATCGCTATTGGTGTTTTGTGGAACCACGTGATTAACCACGCCTAGTTTGTAGGCGTGGTCTCCATTGATCACTCGCGCGGTAAAAATCAACTCTTTTGCAATGGATGGTCCAACCAAACGAGGCAATCTTTGGGTACCTCCGGCCCCTGGAATTATGGCTAGTTTGCTTTCTACTAGACCCATTTTGGCGTCGTTGGCGGCCACTCGGATGTCGCACGCGAGTGACAATTCGAGCCCGCCACCCACGGCTACTCCATCCAGCGCGGCTATGACCGGAATGGGCAAATTCTGGATTTGGTCCATAATACTGCGCAGATTTGACACGAATTGAGCCACTTGCTCCTGGGGCATGGATAATCGTTCCTTCAAATCCGCACCTGATGACAAGATTAGAGCGGGTTCAAACTAGTTTTAAGTCTCACCTGCGCAGAACACCCCAGGGACTAAACTCCGAACAATCAGAACTCGGGCGGTTGTATCAAAATGGATTTTCTGGATGGCATTTTGCAATTCCCGGACTAGCTTTGTCCCGAAGGAGTTTTTCTGTTGGGGTCGGTTGAAACCAAAAACTGTGATACCTTCGTCGGAGTTGGGAAGGTTTTGGGTGACTAAGTCGCTGGTTTGTGAGATTTTTCGGTGTGTATAGACGGGGTTTTTCGGTAATTTTTGAAAGTGTCTCAAAGCGAACATGGTCAAAAAGTTAGGTTAGGTTACTCGGGTGTTATCTACAGGGGTCAAAGTTTGATCGCGTTTGGTAAAAAACCATTTATTTGCGCTGTAGTAAAATAACAATAACAAATAATGTACACAACTGAGGTATTAATATCTCAAGAACACACATAAGCTGATCCTTAACATGGAAACTCTTACGCTAAGGCTTTTATTTAAAATAAATAATATACGTATTTTATTTACAACCTGCGTGCTAACTTCTGATGTTAAAGTAAATACTGTGCGTAAAATATCCAAAACTTTGATATGAAATGTTATTGACTAAAAAATAATCTTGCGTTTACAACAAATGAGACGAGTCGATTAATAATATAATTTATTTTGTACAAATCATGCATGGCACAATTAATACTCCAGGTCTTAATTGTACGATGTACAATCATCTATTTACAATAAATAAAAGGACGGTTAACGAAAAGAACATCAATCACAGTCAAAACAATGACCACACAAATAAAACCATGTCGCTACACAAAATAGTGAGCTTCTAAAAGCGAATCAGTCTCACTAAAAGAAAAAAAAAAGTTTAGTTACAACTAACGCTTTGTAAAAGCAAGATTATCAACAATAAGGCATTAATAAATCTATTTACTTCTTAACAACTTTTTTCTTTCCCTTTTTCTTTTCTTTTTTATCGTCGCTACTGTCGTCTTGACTCGCTTCCTTCTCGTCGCTCTTTTTCTCTTCATCCTGCATCTCTTCGTCTGGTTTAGCGTCCGTCGTTTCGCTAACCTGACTCTCTTGGGGTTTGTCTTCCGCGGCTACCACCTCGGGCGCCACTTCCATTTTCTCTTCGACGACGACGGGGGGGTTATTCGTCTCCGTTGTTTCCACGACCGGTTCAACTTTAGCTTCAGTCTCCTCTTTCTGTTCAACCTCCTCTACTTTCTCTTTGTCTTCGACGTCCATCTTCTCCACTTCCCCTTCAGTCGGAGGACTCGTCTCCACTTTCTCGTCCTCGCTGATTTTCTCCTGGGGTTTTGGAACGTTGGCTGCCGCTTTGGCTTCTAAAATGGTGATGCAACTCTGGATGCACTTGATCGCTTCCTTCCGCGCTTGTCTGATATTCTCCTGGCCTTGAGTATCGATATTGTCTAACTTCAAGAGATTCCTGGTTAGCATCTCGTCCAAGTACAGGTACTGCTTGCCCCTGGGCAACCCGTCGAACTTCTCCACCTGCCCCATCAACTCCGACACGTCCTTCTGTATCAGCTGGATGAGATCTATCGGGGTGCTGAAAGTCCCTGAAGTAATTCCACGAAAATGACATTTTGATAGAGATAATGAGGCCCATTTTAGCCATTTAATGACCTATTCACAGAAACCCTCATATTTTAAATAGCTGCTATCATTTTCTACACTGTAGATTCCTATCAGTACTTATGCATCGTTAAAGATAGTTCTCGACGATTAAGATTTTCTTACTATTCGTCTCAAAAACAGATTAGGTATTATAACTAAAAAGGCTCACATTTTGTCCTTTTTTTTCTTAATATGTGTAGTATTCTTTCCAATAACAAGAAAGGTAAAAAATGTTTAAATTGGTAAATTTATGTAGGAAAGTACCGATTTTGCAATTAGGCTCCGCCTCTCGGTCTGATAACGAATGAAAAATTCATCACAATTAAGCTTGGGTTGGATATGGGTGGGGCTTAACTTTTGGCTTGTTTGTTTTCTTAATATACATAGTATTCTTTGAGCAACACGATACTCAAAAACATGTTCATCAGAATTGAGATAGGGCGGGTGGCGGGGCATATATTGGGCATAGTTAAAATGCTACATTTTTGCAAAGTAATATGGATTTTGCAATTATTTTATATTTTAAACATGTTTTAAGGTTCAAGTTGTGAAAAGAAGTCTACACACATTAAAACACTAAGGCAAATTATAAGCCCACCCACCCACCCTATCTCAATTGTGATGATTTTTTTATTCGCTGTGAACCAAAGGGGCGGAGTTTAACTGCAAAATACTTATTTCTTTACAAGAAAGAATACCATGTATATTAAGAAAAAAAGTAAAATATAGACCCCACCCACCCACCCTATCTCAATTTGTTGATTTTTTTTATTCTTATCAAATTAAAACACCCAAGAAGATTATGTGTCTGTTCGACGTGGACGGCACCCTCACCAAGGCCCGCCGGACCATAGACCCCGCCTTCGACGAGTTCATCCAGACCAAAATCAAACCCTTGTGCACCCTGGGCGTGGTCGGAGGGTCAGACTTCAAGAAAATCGCTGAACAACTCAACGGCGACGACATGATCTTCCGCTTTGACTACGTGTTCCCGGAAAACGGGCTAGTGCAGTTCAAGTTCGGGAAAGAAGTGGGACGACAAAGTATCCAGAAATTCATGGGTGAAGAGAAACTGCAGACGATTATTAATTTCTCGTTAGGATACTTAGCGAAGGTGGTTCTACCCGTGAAAAGGGGCACCTTCATTGAGTTCCGGTCCGGGATGTTGAATATCTGCCCGATTGGAAGGTCGTGCTCGCAGGAGGAAAGGGACAGTTTTGAGAAGTACGACAAGGAGTTTCAGGTGCGGCAGACCATGATTGACGTCCTCAAGAAAAAGTTTCCCGATATTGGGTTATCGTATGCGATAGGGGGGCAGATTAGCTTCGACGTGTTCCCGCACGGGTGGGACAAGACTTACTGTTTGCGACACCTGGAGACTGAAGGGTTCGACGAAATACACTTTTTCGGGGATAAGACTGACGAAGGGGGGAACGACCACGAGATTTTCAACGACCCGAGGACCATCGGACACAAAGTCACCAGTCCTGAGGACACGAGAAAACAGCTTGTGCAACTTTTCAACTTATGAGATTCATTGTTTATTAAAAATTATTGTCCAATGTAATTCGGCTTTCTTTTGTCGTTGAAAGCTTGCAACCCTTCCAGTCGGTCTTTCGTTGGAATAACCTGGGCATAGCAGGCTTCTTCTATCGCTAGACCCGTACTTAAATCAGCTTCGAGTCCTCTATTGATGGCTTTCTTGGCCATGCGTATCGCCACAGGCCCGTTCGGCAAAATCTCTCTGGCTAGCTCAAGCGACTTAAGATAAGCCGCATCTCGATTGGTGTTTTGTGGAACCACGTGGTTAACCACGCCTAGTTTGTAGGCGTGGTCTCCATTGATCACTCGTGCCGTGAAAATCAACTCTTTTGCAATGGATGGTCCAACCAAACGAGGCAATCTTTGGGTACCTCCAGCCCCTGGAATTATGGCTAGTTTGCTTTCTACTAGACCCATTTTGGCGTCGTTGGCGGCCACTCGAATGTCGCACGCGAGTGACAGTTCGAGCCCGCCGCCCACGGCTACTCCATCCAGCGCGGCTATGACCGGAATGGGCAAATTCTGGATTTGGTCCATAATACTGCGCAGATTTGACACGAATTGAGCCACCAGCTCCTGGGGCATGGATAATCGTTCCTTCAAGTCCGCACCTGATGACAAGATTAGAGCGGGTTCAAACTAGTTTTAAGTCTCACCTGCGCAAAAGACCCCAGGGACTAAACTCCGAACGATCAAAACTCGGGCGGTTGTATCAAAATTGATTTTCTGGATGGCATTTTGCAATTCCCGGACTAGCTTCGTCCCGAAGGAATTTTTCTGTTGGAGTCGGTTGAAACCGAAAACTGTGATACCTTCGTCGGAGTTGGGGAGGTTTTGGGTGACTAAGTCGCTGGTTTGTGAGATTTTTCGGTGTGTGTAGACGGGGTTTTTGGGTAATTTTTGTAAGTGTCTCAAAGCGAACATGGTCAAAAAGTTAGGTTAGGTTACTCGGGTGTTATCTACAGGGGTCAAAGTTTGATCGCGTTTGGTAAAAAACCATTTATTTGCGCTGTAGTAAAATAACAATAACAAATAATGTACACAACTGAGGTATTAATATCTCAAGAACACACATAAGCTGATCCTTAACATGGAAACTCTTACGCTAAGGCTTTTATTTAAAATAAATAATATACGTATTTTATTTACAACCTGCGTGCTAACTTCTGATGTTAAAGTAAATACTGTGCGTAAAATATCCAAAACTTTGATATGAAATGTTATTGACTAAAAAATAATCTTGCGTTTACAACAAATGAGACGAGTCGATTAATAATATAATTTATTTTGTACAAATCATGCATGGCACAATTAATACTCCAGGTCTTAATTGTACGATGTACAATCATCTATTTACAATAAATAAAAGGACGGTTAACGAAAAGAACATCAATCACAGTCAAAACAATGACCACACAAATAAAACCATGTCGCTACACAAAATAGTGAGCTTCTAAAAGCGAATCAGTCTCACTAAAAGAAAAAAAAAAGTTTAGTTACAACTAACGCTTTGTAAAAGCAAGATTATCAACAATAAGGCATTAATAAATCTATTTACTTCTTAACAACTTTTTTCTTTCCCTTTTTCTTTTCTTTTTTATCGTCGCTACTGTCGTCTTGACTCGCTTCCTTCTCGTCGCTCTTTTTCTCTTCATCCTGCATCTCTTCGTCTGGTTTAGCGTCCGTCGTTTCGCTAACCTGACTCTCTTGGGGTTTGTCTTCCGCGGCCACCACCTCGGGCGCCACTTCCATTTTCTCTTCGACGACGACGGGGGGGTTATTCGTCTCCGTTGTTTCCACGACCGGTTCAACTTTAGCTTCAGTCTCCCCTTTCTGTTCAACCTCCTCTACTTTCTCCTTGTCTTCGACGTCCATCTTCTCCACTTCCCCTTCAGTCGGAGGACTCGTCTCCACTTTCTCGTCCTCGCTGATTTTCTCCTGGGGTTTTGGAACGTTGGCTGCCGCTTTGGCTTCTAAAATAGTGATGCAACTCTGGATGCACTTGATCGCTTCCTTCCGCGCTTGTCTGATATTCTCCTGGCCTTGAGTATCAATATTGTCTAACTTCAAGAGATTCCTAGTCAGCATCTCGTCCAAGTAGAGGTACTGCTTGTCCCTGGGCAACCCGTCGAACTTCTCCACCTGCCCCATCAACTCCGACACGTCCTTCTGTATCAGCTGGATGAGATCTATCGGGGTGCTGGGCTTAGGGACTTCCTTCGGCTTCTCTTCCTTCTTCTCTTGGGGCTTCTGCGGTGGTGCTTGTCGCTCGGGCTGCGCCTGCGCCTGTGGTTGTGGTTGTTTCTTAACCTCCGGCCCGAACCCCCCGTGTTGTCTCTCCGGGGGCGGCTTCCCCACAAACTGAGTAAAGTGGCTCGGCGAATGCCCGAAGATCCTCTCGGGCTGCGGCTGGCTGAAGCTCGCCCCCGTGTGCTTCGGCACCACCGGCTCGTCTCTCCCCTCTACGTGTATAGGAATCACCCGCTCCACGGGCTTGTCCTGGGTCTGCTGCGGCTGCGACTGCGTTTTGCCCATGTCTCCCATTCCCCCGTCCCGGTTGATCGGGATGTGGATGCTCGAAACGTATCTCTGGCGGTTGTCCGGGGGCGGCGCAGACATCGATCTTTGGTTTCTATCATTCACCGGCTCCTGCTTCTGCCCCAAGTCGACGGTGTTGCTCTGCTGGATGTTCTGCTTGCGGCCGCGCTCCGGCCGGGGTTTGTCCTCTTCGGGCTGGGGTTGCGGCGGCGGCGATGTTTGCGGGGGCTGGTCCTCGTCGAAAGGGTCGCTGAAGGGGAAGCCGAAGCGCTCGAAGCGGCCCGAGGCGAAGGGCCTGCTCGCGAAGCGGTGGAAGTCCTGGTCGGCGGGCCGCGGCGGACGCCGGCGGCCGAGGGTCTCTGAGCGGAACGGGAAGCCGTCTAGGTGCTCGGCGAGCTCGGGGTGGCGTTTGGCGATGTCGTCGAGCTGGCTACGGAAGTGGTCGTCCCTGTCGTCGCGGTCGAAGGAGAAGCCACTCTGGAAGAAAACGGGAACGTTAGGGGTTTGTACGAAGGGGGTGAGAAAGCGTGAAAATGAAAGAATGAAAGGCGTCGGGGTGTCTATAAAGGTATATCTACACATTTTATGCGCGCAGTTTTAATCTAGTCGTTTTTTAAACAATTGCTTCGCTTACTAAGTAATGAATAGAATAGAATCACCAAAGGTCGATTTATACACTTGCCGTTGAAAGTTGGTACGTCGTTGGAATGACGTTCGAAATGACCAACTTTTAACTTTCGCCGTTACGTTCCGTCGACGTTGGCTTTTCAACCAATCAAATTGCGGTAGTGTGCAGTGTTGCCAACTTGAAGGAAAATCCCCTGAAGTAATTCCACGAAATGACATTTTGATAGAGATAATGAGGTCCATTTTAGCCATTTAATGACCTATTCACAGAAACCCTCATATTTTAAATAGCTGCCATCATTTTCTTACATTCTAGATTTCTATCAGTACTTATGCATCGTTAAAGATAGTTCTCGACCATTAAGATTTATTACTATTCGTCTCAAAAACAGATTAGGTATTATAACTAAAAGGGCTCACATTTTGCCCTTTTTTTCTTAATATGTGTAGTCTTCTTTTCACAACAAGAAAAGTAAAACATGTTTAAAATGGTAAATTTATGTAGGAAAGTATAGATTTTGCATTTAGGCTCCGCCTCTCGGTCTGACAACGAATGAAAAATTCATCATAATAAAGCTTGGGTTGGCTATGGGTGGGGCTTAACTTTTGGCTTGTGTTTTTCTTAATATACATAAATTCTTTGAACAACACGATACTCAAAAACATGTTCATCAGAATTGAGATAGGGCGGGTGGGCGGGGCATACATTGTGCCCTTTTTTTCTTAATATACATAGCCTCTTTTCACAACAAGAAACTTGGAACATGGTTAAAATGCTACATTTTTGCAAAGTAATATGGATTTTGCAATTATTTTATATTTTAAACATGTTTTAAATTTCAAGTTGTGAAAAGAAGTCTACACACATTAAAACACTAAGGCAAATTATAAGCCCGCCCACCCACCCTATCTCAATTGTGATGATTTTTTTTATTCGCCGTGAACCAAAGGGGCGGAGCTTAACTGCAAAATACTTATTTCTTTACAAGAAAGAATACTATGTATATTAAGAAAAAAAGTAAAATATAGATCCCACCCACCCACCCCGTCTCAATTGTGTTGATTTTTTTTATTCTTATCAACTTAAAACACGTTTAAAATGGTAAATTTTTGTAAGGAAACATGGATTTTGCAGTTAAGCTCCGCCCCTAGGTCTTCCAACGAATGAAAACTGCATTACTACTTAGATCAGGACAAGTTTGGGTGGGGTTTAATCGTTGACTATAATTTTTGAATAATACGGTACTCGAAAACATGTCTTACATGGTAATTTCTTGTAAGAAATAATAAGGATTTTGCAATTAAATTCTGCTCGTTTGGCTCTCAATTAAAAAAATTTATCCCATTTGAGACAGGGTGGGTGGGCGGGGTTTACTTTGCCTTCCGAACGAATCCAAAAGAATACGAAAAGAATTCCAGGGAATAAAAAAGATTTCGAAAGAATACAATGACCAAATTTCGGGAGGATAAGAGAGAATCTGGAAGAATCCTACAAAATCGGACAGAATCTGGGAGAATCCGGAAGAATACGAAAAAAATTCCAAAGGATACAAGAGAACCAAAAGAATATGAGAGAATATGAAAGAATCCGGACGTTTCTGAAAGAATCCAAGAAAATTTGGTAGAATTTATAATATAAGAGAATCGGCCAAATTCTGAGAGGATTGGGGAGAATCCGGAAGAATCGTGAAGAATCTGGGAAAAATACCAGAGACTCCTAGAGAATTTGAAAGAATCTGGGTAATTGCAAAAATATCCTAGAAAATCTGACAGAATCCGAAAGAATCCGAGTGAATCAAAGAGAATCCTAAAATATTTTTTAAGAATTCAACAGAATCCCAAAGAATATAAAAAAATCCCGAAGAATGCTAGAGAATATGAGAGAATCCGACAAAATTCCGAGAGGACCGCAGAGAATCCGAGAAAATCTGACAGAATCCGGCAGAATCCGAGTGAATTAGAGAAAATCAGAAAATAATTCGAAAGAATTCAACATAATGCGAAATAATACGCTAAAGAATCTGAAAAGATAGGACAGAATCCGAGGGAATCGGATATCCGAACGAATCCGAAAGAATACGAAAAGAATTCTAGAGAATATAAGAGAATTCGAAATAATACAAGAGAATGACCAAATTCTGAGGGAATAAGAGAGAATCTGAGAAAATCGGACAGAATCTGGAAGTATCCGAGTGAATCACGGAGGATCCGAAAATAATTAAAGAGAAATAGACACAATTCTGAATAATACAAAAGAATCCGAAAGGATAGAAGAGAATCCGAAAAAATCCTAAATCCGAGAGAATCCGGAAGAATACGAAAAAAATCTCAAAGAATACAAAATAATATGAAACAATCCGGACGTTTCTGAAAGAATCCAAGAAAATCTGGCAGAATCTATAACTATCCGACTGAACCAGAGAGAATATGAAAACAATTGCAGAGAATTTGACAGAATCTTAAATAATACGCAAAGGATCCGAAAAAATATGAGAGAATACAAGAAAATATAAGAGAATCGGCTAAATTCCGAGAGGATTGGGGAGAATCCAGAAGAATCTGGGTGATTGCAAAAATATCCTAGAAAATCTGACAGAATCCGAGTGAATCAAAGAGAATCCTAAAATATTTTTTAAGAATTCAACAGAATCCCAACGAATATAAAAGAATCTCGAATAATGCAAGAAAACATGAGAGAATCCGACCAAATTCCGAGAGAACCGCAGAGAATCCGGAAGAATCCGAGAAAATCTGACAGAATCCGGAAGAATCCGAGTGAATCAAAGAGAATCCTAAAACAATTCTTAAGAATTCAACAGAATCCCAAAGAATATAAAAGAATCCCGAAGAATGCAAGAGAACATGAGAGAATCCGACCAAATTCCGAAAGGACCGCAGAGAATCCGGAAGAATCCTTAAGAATCCGAGAAAATCTGACAGAATCCGGAAGAATCCGAGTGAATCAAAGAGAATCCTAAAATAATTTTTAAGAATTCAACAGAATCCCAAAGAATATAAAAAAATCCCGAAGAATGCAAGAGAATATGAGAGAATCCGACCAAATTCCTAGAGAACCGCAGAGAATCCGGAAGATTCCTTAAGAATTGGAGAAAATCTGACAGAATTCGGAAGAATCGGAGTGAATCAAAAAGAATCGTAACGTAATTCTTAAGAATTCAACAGAATCCCAAAGAATATAAAAGAATCCCGAAGAATGCAAGAGAACATGAGATAATCCGACAAAATTCCGAGAGAACCGCAGAGAATCCGGAAGAAACCGAGTGAATCAAAGAGAATCCTAAATTAATTCTTAAGAATTCAACAGAATCCCAAAGAATATAAAAGAATCCAGAAAAATACAAGAGAATATGAGAGAATCCGACCAAATTCCGAGAGGACCGCAGAGAATCCGGAAGATTCCTTAAGAATCCGAGAAAATCTGACAGAATCCGGAAGAATCCGAGTGAATCAAAGAGAATCCTAAAATAATTTTTAAGAATTCAACAGAATCCCAAAGAATATAAAAGAATCCCGAAGAATGCACGAGAATATGAGAGAATCCGATCAAATTCTGAGACGACCGCAGAGAATCCGACAAAATCTGACAGAATCCGGAAGAATCCGAGTGAATTGGAGAAAATCAGAAAATAATTCGAAAGAATTCAACATAATGGGAAATAATACGCTGAAGAATCTGAAAAGATACGACAGAATCCGAGGGAATCGGAGATCCGAACGAATCCGAAAGAATACGAAAAGAATTCTGGGGAATATAAGAGAATTCGAAATAATACAAGAGAATGACCATGACCAAATTCCGAGACAATAAGAGAGAATCTGGAAAAATCCTAGAGAATACGAGAGAATTCGAGAATATATGAAAGAATCCGAGAAAATCGGACAGAATCTGGAAGTATCCGAGTGATTCGCGAAGGATCCGAAAATAATTGAAGAGAAATAGACACAATTCTGAATAATACAGAAGAATCCGAAAAGATACAGGAGAATCCGAAAAAATTCTAAATCCGAGAGAATCCGGAAGAATACAAAAAAAAAAATCCAAAGAATTCGAGAGAACCAAAAGAATATGAGAAAATATGAAAGAATTCGGACGTTTCTAAAAGAATCCAAGAGAATCTGGTAGAATTTATAACTATCCGAGTGAACCAGAGAGAATCTGAAAATAATTGCAGAGAATTTGACAGAATTTTAAATAATACACAAAGGATTCGAAAAAATATGAGAGAATACAAGAAAATATAAGAGAATCGGCCAAATTCCCAGAGGATTGGGGAGAATCCGGAAAAATCGGGGAAAATACCAGAGAATCCTAGAGAATTTGAAAGAATCTGGGTGATTGCAAAAATATCCTAGAAAATCTGACAGAATCCGAAAGAATCAGAGTGAATCAACGAGAATCCTAAAATAATTCTTAAGAATTCAACAGAATCCCAAAGAATATAAAAGAATCCCGAAGAATGCAAGAGAATATGAGAGAATCCGACCAAATTCCGAGAGAACCGCAGAGAATCTGGAAGAATCCTTAATAATCGGAGAAAATCTGGCAGAATCCGGAAGAATCCGAGTGAATCAAAGAGAATCCTAAAATAATTCTTAAGAATTCAACCGAATCCCAAAGAATATAAAATAATCCCGAAGAATGCAAGAGAACATGAGAGAATCCGACCAAATTCCGAGAGGACCGCAGAGGATCCGGAAGAATCCTTAAGAATCCGCGAAAATCGGACAGAATCCGGAAAAATCCAAGTGAATCAAAGAGAATCCTAAAATAATTCTTAAGAATTCAACAGAATTCCAAAGAATATAAAATAATCCCGAAGAATGCAAGAGAACATGAGAGAATCCGACCAAATTCCGAGAGAACCGCAGAGGATCCGGAAGAATCCTTAAGAATCCAAGAAAATCTGACAGAATCCGAAAGAATACGAGTGAATCAAAAAGAGTCGTAAAATAATTCTTAAGAATTCAACAGAACCCCAAAGAATATAAAAAAATCTCGAAGAATGCAAGAGAACATGAGAGAATCCGACCAAATTCCGAGAGAACCGCAGAGAAACCGGAAGAATCCTTCAGAATCGGAGAAAATCTGACAGAATCCGGAAGAATCCGAGTGAATAACAGAAAATCGTAAAATAATTCTTAAGAATTCAACAGAATCCCAAAGATTATAAAAGAATTCCGAAGAATGCAAGAGAACCTGAGAGAATCCGACCAAATTCCGAGAGAACCGCAGAGAATCCGGATGAATCAGAGTGAATCAAAGAGAATCGTAAAATAATTCTTAAGAATTCAACCGAATCCCAAAGAATATAAAAGAATCCCGAAGAATGCAAAAGAACATGAGAGAATCCGACCAAATTCCGAGAGAACCGCAGAGAATCCGAGGAAAACTGACAGAATCCGGAAGAATCCGAGTGAATCAAAGAGAATCCTAGAATAATTCTTAAGAATTCAACAGAATCCCAAAGAATATACAAGAATCCCGAAGAAGGCAAGAGAATATGAGAGAATCTGACCAAATTCCAAGAGGACTGCAGAGAATCCGAGAAAATCTGACAGAATCCAGAAGAATACGAGTGAATGATAGAAAATCAGAAAATAATTCGAAAGAATTCAACATAATGGAAAATAATACGCTCAAGAATATGAAAAGTAGGACAGAATCCAAGGGAATCGGAGATCCGAACGAATCCGAAAAAATACGAAAAGAATTCTAGAGGATATAAGAATTCGAAATAATACAAGAGAATGACCAAATTCCGAGAGAATAAGAGAGAATCCGGAAGAATCCTAGAGAATACGAGAGAATTCAAGAGTATATGAAGGAATCCAAGAAAATCTGGTAGAATTTATAACTATTGAGAATGGATCCTAATCTTTGGCTTTATTTTTTTCTTAATATATATAGTATTTTTTGAACAACACGATACTCAAAAACATGTTTTTAATTTCTCGTAGAGAAATCGGAATTTTGCAGTTAAGCACCGCCCTCTGGCTAACGACGAATAAAAAAAATCATCAGAATTGAGATAGGGCGGGTGGGCGGGGCTTACATTTTGCCCGTTTTTCTTAATATGTGTAGACTTATTCCGACAAAAAGAAACTTAAATCAAGTCTAATTAAAATAGTAAATTTTAACTTCAACGTCAACAGCAAGTTTATAAATCCGACTTAATCGAGTCTATCGGGCGACTTGCCACTTTCATGTTTTCTCGATATTTCCACAGTGCGAAAAAAATCGCAAAACAATTTTCATGAAGAAACTTCTACCGATTTATTTTTTTTTTCCTTAAAACCCCTGTGCTGCTCCGCTCTCTAATCATGACGTCGCACGCCTACACACGGTCACCGTCAACGCTTCCGGCGAAAGATCTCGATTACTTACATCCTCAGTTCCGGCCTCCATGGGCTCGCACACATCCCTCTCCCCCAGCGGAATACTCCGCACCGTATCAACCATCGGCGTCGTCATAATAACCAAAATAACCAACAACACTGATTCACACTTATAAATAAACTCGGAATGTACTTCGTGGACTTCGCACTATCACTTCTTCGCTGTCGCGTCGAGTCGAAATTGCTACGCGCCGCGCTCCGATCGCGTATATGACCGGTGTATGATCGGTGGTGGGGGGTTCCGGAGTGTTCCAGCGAGCGCGACGCGTTCCGGAAAGTTTCCGGAACGTTCTGGATGCACGCAGACCCGATATAAATAAATGAGTCAAGCGACGCGTGTGATTATTTGGCATTTATGCGCGACTTTGTGAGCAGCGTCCTTGGTTGTTCGAAATCTGGAACGACATTGTTAGTGTTTACCTATCTGCGCGCACCTTTTATGGAATTAACGTGTCGGGCGATGACTAGCCGTTAAATAATACCCACATTTGCATATTTATGGTTATGGTGACGCTAATTCGCACGATTAACTTATTTTCGGTGCGTTTATTTAGAGATAGTGGACCCATCATCGGGGAAAAATGCATAGTTTTGATACGGAGCGCTTGCCAACCGAAACCGAGGTTCTAGCACGAACTCTGGGTTTTCGATACATAAAACAGATGTAGATAAGTGGAGCCGCTAATGAATCAGAAATTAAAAATCGATTGTGAAACTTTCCTCAAATAGAATCGCTGCGGACTCGTGTTGGAGCATTGAAAGGTGTCAAGGTTGGCTTTTTGGACTGCAGACACGGCGACTAGATGTTAGATTTAATAAGTGGTATGAGATGGTAAAAGCGGTGGGTTATTGGGGGGGTTAACGCCGCCTTGTGATCCCAGGGCTTACCTTGGTCTTAAAAAAAATCTTCGTTGCGTTCAAACAACTGCTGCGAAAAAATTATCTCGGACAAAACCTAGAAAAAAGCTCGTTCGTCTTAGTGACACTTTAAAAATTAAAGCAAAGAGCGGATGAGAATTCAAACTATTAGATTTGGCCCTGAACACATTTATTCAGCAAGCCCGATGTGTTGCCAAAGTTGTATTAGTTTAATTACCACGGGAAATAACGTACGATTGTATAAAGAAGAGTCTAGCCACAATAATAATAAATTTTATTTCGGATATACTACGTCCTATTCCATTCTTAAAATCCAGAATAAAATTACTCGTTACGTTGTTCATTATCGCACCACTTACTCATTCCGCGTTTATGTGTAAAGTAACGCGAATTGTAATAAAAATAAGTGAGCAATACCCAAACGGTTGCAGTCATTTTATCCCCAATTAAATTTCTCCTCAAATTTTAATTAATGCGTAGACGGTGTGTCTTGTACCATTAATAACCTGTTGCTTCTATATGAGCAACTATTGATTTCTCAGCGCCTGATAATGTTGTAGAGGATTCTCGAAGTCCTTACGGCTTAATTCGCTCTAAGCTTGACGAAATTGCCAAGGATAACGATACGGAATATTTGTCGACTTTTTGACTGTATATTTATTTAAATCTACTTCAGAACTCGCTACTTCAGACGCATTTTCAACCTGTTGCTTCAATGCGAGCGACTTTATTGATTTCCCGAGTCGATAATTGCCTAGAAAATTCTCGAAGTTTGGACGGATTCCTTCCAGCTTAATCCTCCGTGAATCCGAAGGGATAACGATGAATGTCAACAGTAAAACGAAATTTATGTTGGAACTTCGCACATTTGCTGGTGGTATTTTTAAATTTTAATTAACAGTTGAATATACAGGGTGAGTCACTAAGTGCGCGCGATTCTCATTAATTATTACTAAAAAAATTCAAGCCCAAAGTTGTAAGGTTCTTTAATTAGCAAACAAAAATTATTTTCAACTTGCTAAAATAAAACTGATTTTGGCAAATGCCACACCCTCTATGAAAATAGAGGGCGGGTGGGCGGCTCAAGTAATCTGAAAATTACAAAATTCAAGTGACGAAACATCAAAAGATCGAAAAATCCTGAAATCGAAAGTCGAAAAATTGGAAAATCAAAGCAGCCCAAAGTCGAAAAATCCAGAAATTTGAATTGAAAAAAAAAAATCATTAATCCAAAAATTGAATAATCCAAAAATTGACAATGAACAATCGAAAAATCGGAAAATTTAAAAGCCGAAGAATTGAACAACTGAAATTTCCGAAATTTTAAAAATCGAAAAACTTAGTACCGACATCGAAAATCGAAAGACTGAAAAATTGACAAATCAGAACTGAAAATCGAGACAACAAAAAAATTTAAATTTTAAAAATGAAAAATAAAAAAATCGAAAAGTAAGATTTAAAAATCAAAAAACTGAAAAAGTGAAAAATCTACAGATGGAAAATTCGAAAAACGAAAAGTCGAAAAATAGAGAAATCGAGAAATCAAATAGTCAACAATCCAAAAAATAGAAATCGAAAATTCGAAAATTTAGAAACGTCAGAAGTTGAAAATGGAAAATTCAAATTTTAAAAATCAAAAACTGAAAAACCGAAAAAAATCTAATATTAAGAAGTCTAAAACTCGAAGGATCGAGAAATTGAAACATCAAAAAACTGAAAAAACCAAAATTTAAAAATCCGGAAAGTTGAAAACTAGATTTATAGAAAAACCGTCGAAAAATCCAAGTCTAATATTTTAAAAATTGAAAAATTAAAACATCCAAAATTGGATAATCGAAAAATCTGAAAAATGCCAAAACTGAAATGAAAAAATCGAAAAATATAAATCTTGAAAATTCGAAAAAATCGAAAACTGAAAAATCTAAATCCAAAAATTGAAAATTAGAAACATCGAAGAACTGAGAAATCGAAAAATATGAAATTGTAACAATAAAAAAATTAAAACATCGACAAATTTAAGATTAAAAAATCGAAGAATTCAAACAAAAAAATCTAAAAATTGATAAATTAAAAAATCGAAGAAAAATTGAAGAACCGAACAACTGAAAAATCGAGAAATCGAAATCTCGAAAAACCAAAAACTGAAAATTTGAAAAATCTAAAATTCAAAAATCGAGAAAGTAAAAGATCAAGAAAACGACAATTCGAAAAAGTAGTATTTCTTAAGATAAGCCTGATTTTGGCAAATGACATAATCCCCTGAGAAAATAGGGGGGTGGGTGGGCGGGGCTAGTACTTGCTAAGATAAGACTAATTTTGGCAAATGACATATCCTCTGAGAAAACAGAAAAAAATATTAATGTAATCATTAATCACAAGTAAAAACTCATCATATTTTGCACATTTTGGGTAGAATTTATTTGGCAACATTTTGGGATAACGTCATCAATATTTTAGGGTCGAATAAAACGTAAAAGTAGAGGGTTTGCTTAGGCTCAGGAAGTAAAAACAAAAAAGGGTTGATTAAAAAATGAGAAAATGGATGATTAACAAAGGGTACTAAAAGGAGAATAAAAAGGGGAGGAAAAAATGGACTATAAAAAAACAGGATAAAAACCCCCCAAAAAAGGTCCGAAAAAAGACGATAAAAAATACCAAAAGAAGGAGGCTAAAATCAACTAAAGGCAACTAAAAACGAGGGACAAAAAAGCGACAAAAGAAAAAGTGTGAAACAAAAAGCACAAAAAGCAACGAAAAAAGCAGGAAAAAAAAGGTGCGTAAAATGACGACTAACAGCGCGATTAACAAGGCCGATTTAAGGGAAAAAAGACAAAAAATAACGATTAAAAAAAGGGGACAGAATGAAAAAAAGACAACAAAATATATCAAAAAAGCTGATAGTGGCAAAAATAGGAGACGAATAAGCTTATTAAAAAGGGAGGTCAAAAAAGTGGGGGAAAAAAGGGGCGAAAAAAGACAACAAAGAAAAGGTAGCAAACAAGGTCAAAAAAAAACAAAGGCGACGAAAGATCAGAAAAATAAGCAGAAAAAGAGCGACTAAAAAAGGACAATTAAAAAAAAGGCAAAAAAAAACAAAAAAGGTGCCCAAAACCGAGAAAAGAGTGAGAAAAAAGCCAAAAAAGGCCATTAAAAACGACAAGAGGGCGATTTAAAAAAGAATACCAAAAATAAAAAAAATAAAAAAGGAAGACCATAAAAAAGAAAACAAAAATATGCCACAACAAATAGGCTATAAAAACAGGATTAAAATGCATCAAAAACCGTTACGAAAAAAGACGAAATAATAAGAGAAAAAAGGCGTATAAAAACGCGATAAAAAAATGACTTTTAAAGAAAAGAAAGACAAGGGGAGAAACGGACAAAAAAGGCGAAAAAGGGAGTACCAAAGAGGGGCATAAAAAAGGACTACAAAAACAATCGGCAAAAAAGGTTGTAGAAAGAGTTAAAACGCAGCCAAAAACGGTCCGAAAAAGACGATACAAAATTATTCAAAAAAGGGGGACAAAAATAGGCGACAAAAAGATCGAATAAAACAAAAAAAAAAAAGGAAGAAAAGACGACAAAAAATCCCAAAAAATGCGGTGGAAGCGGAGACAAAAAATACCAATAAAAAAGGGAGTAAGAAAAAGGAGTTGAAAAAGACAATAAAAGAAAATACTAAACAAGGTTAAAAAAACAAAACAAAAAAGAATGTGAAAAAAAGACTTAAAAAAAGGACTAAAAAGGGTTCCAAAGGGGAGGAAATATATGTGTATTATAATTTTCAAATAGAATATCTTGTACTTTATCACTGCATCTTACCATGCTTAAAATTGAAAATGAAAACTTGAAAAATTTAAATTTCCAAAGTAGACAACTAAAAAATCGAAAAATTAAAATTCCAGAAACTCTGCAACATTGAAAAAACTAAAATATTAAAAAGAAATAAAAAAACAAAAAGGAGAAAAATAAAAAAATTGTTAAATCGTAAAATTAAAATATCGAAAAACTGTTCAAAAGTTGAATCGAAAATTTGGAAAAACGAAAAATGAAAATATAAAAAATTGAAAACTAATCGAAGACCTAAAAAATCGAATAATGGAATTATTTAAAAATCAAAAAATTCAAAGCAAAAAAAACCGAAAATTTCAAATTCAAAAAATCGAAAAATTTGAAATTAGAAGAATCAAAAATATGCAAATCGAAATCTAAAATAGGAAATTTCGAAATCAAAAATTAATAAGAAAATTAAAAAAAAATAAAAATGCGAACATTCAAAAGTAAAACGAAAATATCAAGAAATTGAAAAAACGAAAAATTAAAATTGAGACAATTTAAACTGAAAACTCAAGGAATTAGAAAAATAAAAAAATTTGCAAGTCA